TAGTAGAGACAAGGTTTCACCGTGTTAGCCAGGATGGGTCTCTTATCTCCTGACTCATGATGCGCCCGCCTCAACCTCCCAAAGTGCTGGGGACGTATGTTACCTTAGCTGACAAGCGGGTGAGCCATCTCGCCGGCCCCCCCCACTGGTTTCTGACCACCCAACGGCATAGCCTTATCAGGGGCCACTCCTGGCTCTGCCTCTCCAAAGCCCCAACCTGGTCTAGCTCCTCCCTCCCCACCCCCTCTTCCCACTCCAGCCAGCCCCTCCTCACCCACCCAAGCACAGGGCGCTCTCCTCTTAGTCCTGGCATCTTCCTGGAGTCGCCCCAGTTTCACGGCCTCCCATCAGGAGTCCTGAAATGGCTGCTCAGCCACTGCCCCCACGGTGCACCCACAGGCCCCCTGCACACTCCAGGCCACTACACTGACCGTCCACAGCACAGCGCCCAGACGCCCCCATCCAGGACAGAATTCCGGCCACTTCCACCAAATGGCAACCTGGCAACTCCATCCTCCTGGTACCACACCCACGCAATGAGCAAATCCTGCTGGCTCCACCTTCAAATCAACCTAGATCCGCACACCCTGCATGGCCTCCCCCGGCCCTGCTCCCGGACCCTCCACAAGCTGCCTCGTGGCAGCCCCGCCCCAGCCCGAGGCCCACACCCTGGCTGCCCAGGCTGCACCTGGAGTTGGTTGGAAATTCAGAGCTTGGGGCCAACCCCAACCAGAGCACAAGTGCATGAGCCAGGACTCCCCGGCCACACCTGCATGTGTGTGTGCGCATGTCTATGCGTGTGCATGCCGTCAGGACGCGCGTGCGTGCACGTGTGTTGCATGCGTGTGTGCGCATGTCTATGCGTGTGCATGCCGTCAGGACGCGCGTGCGTGCACGTGTGTTGCATGCGTGTGCGCATGTCTATGTGTGTGCATGCCGTCAGGACGCGCGTGCGTGCATGTGTGTTGCATGTGCGTGTGCGCATGTCTATGCGTGTGCATGCCGTCAGGACGCGCGTGCGTGCATGTGTGTTGCATGTGCGTGTGTGTGCATGCCATCAGGACACATGCATGTATGTCTGTGTGTGTGCATGTGCATGCCATCAGGTTTGAGGAGCACTGGCCTCTGTCCTCCCTTCGGGCTCCCTGTGCACAATCCTGCCCCAATGCGAGTTCCCAAATCGTCGCCGGCTCTTCTCCTCCAGAGCCACCCTGTGTAGGATGCAGCACCCCTGCCCCTAGGGCGCTTCACGTCTTGCAGGGAACTCTCATCGTTTTAGGCCACCTCGGGATCCACTCTGAATCTAGGCTGGACTTTCTCTGACCAGAAGCGGGGCTGTCACCCAGGACAATTTTCAGTTCACATCCCCCTTCCTCGAGCTGACCCACGCAGACGCCCATGCTATGCACTGTACCCTGGTGACCCCCCCCGTGTCCCCACAGGCCCCACGCCCCACATGGACTGTGCAGCCACAAAGCAAGAGTCCCCCACAGTCACAGTGTGGCCACACGGCAGCCACACCACAGAGACCCCCCCCAGTCACAGCGTGACCACACCGCAGAGACCCCCCCCGTCACAGATTCCACTTTATTCTTTAGAAAAATTGTTTTAACTGTTCCAGGTCCTTTGCCTTTTCATGTAAATTTTAGAATAAGCCTGTGTAGCACAGAAACTGAGATTTTGTTAGGACTGTGTGAAATCTACAGATTAACTCAAGGGGAATTATTTAACAACATTTGCAGGAAGCCAGCTCTGAACTGTCAGAGTGGGCATGCCTGGGCAGAACAGCCACGGAGCCCAGTGCACGGAGGGGACACAGCTAATGCACGCCAGGCCAGAAAGACATGGACCTGGCACAGAAGCCACCAAGAAGGCAGGAAGAGGGGTCAGAAATCCCCAAGTCAGGAAGGAAGCCATCGTCAGCAGCATCAGATACCAGAGGCTAAGAAACTGAGGACTGAGAACAGCCCCTTGGCAAGTGGCAGTTCAGAGGGGTTCCCTGGAGACTCTGAAGGAGAGCAGAGGGCAGGGCTGCAAACAGCAGAAGGCATCCCCCAGCGAGGGGGAGGGCCGCAGGGATGGGAGCAGCAGTGCCACAGAGGGGAAAAGGGAGGGGCAGTAGGAACACACCTGCCTCTGAAGCGAGGCTTTCCTGAGACCCAGGACCAGCACAGAGCCACACAACGGAAGGGATGGGAAGGGACCAGGATAAGTGCACAAGTGACAGGGTTGGGGCCGGCAACGGCCCCACCACACCCAGGGGCTGCCCCCTCTTCTCCCAACTGTGTCCAGCCCTGTCGGGGGAGCAGCTTATCTCCACCAGCAACTGACCTGGCTGGTGATGCTGAGGGAGGCGGGGTGTAGATACAGAATTAATATTCATCATTTATTTCAAAAAAACTAAAATCACAAAACAAAAGTAAAGCTGGCATAATTTTGCTTGTCGAAGACCACCACTCATTTTGTTGTTTTTTTTTTTTTGAGACAGAGTTTCGATCTTGTCACCCAGGCTGGAGTGCAGTGGCACGATCTCGGCTCACTGCAAGCTCTGCCTCTTGGGTTCAAGTGATTCTCCTGCCTCAGCCTCCCGAGTAGCTGGGACTACAGGCGCCCGCCACCACGCCTGGCTAATTTTTTGTATTTTTTTAGTAGAGACGAGGTTTCACCATATTAGCCAAGATAGTCTCAATCTCCTGATGAGTTCTGCTCTTGTCACCCAGGCTGGACTGCAACAGCATGACCTCGGCTCACTGCAACCTCTGCCTCCAGGGTTCAAGTGATTCTCCTGCCTCAGCCTCCCGAGTAGCTGGGACTACAGGCATGAGCCACCATGCCCGGCTAATTTTGTATTTTTAGTAGAGATGGAGTTTCTCCATGTTGGTCAGGCTGGTATCGAACTCCTGACCTCAGGTGATCCGCCCAGTTCAGCCTCCCAAAGTGCTGGAATTACAGGCGTGAGCCACTGCGCCCAGCAGTGGTTGATTCTTCAAATCAGCTGAAGGCACACAGACTCATCGTAACAAGTAACACGCCCTGGACACTGCTCCCGGGCCTTATCTCGCCATGGCCTGCTGGCATCCCCAGCGCTGGTCACGGTCCATGGCGCTAGGATCAAGTGCCTGCCCTACAGATGGGCTCCTGCCCTCCGGCTGCCCTGGTTGCAGATGAACCCAGAACTGGGATTCCTGGGCCAAAGGAGAGTCCTCGGGCATGGCTGTGAGAACTCGGCCAAAGTGCCTTCAGGAGAGCCCTTTTCTTTGCCTTTTTCTTTTTTTTTTTTTTGAGACGGAGTCTCGCTCTGTCGCCCAGGCTGGAGTGCAGTGGCACGATCTCGGCTCACTGCAAGCTCTGCCTCTTGGGTTCAAGCCATTCTCCTGCCTCAGCCTCCCGAGTAGCTGGGACTACAGGCGCCTGCCACCTCGCCCGGCTAGTTTTTGTATTTTTTTAGTAGAGACGGGGTTTCACCGTGTTAGCCAGGATGGTCTCGATCTCCTGACCTCGTGATCCGCCCGTCTCGGCCTCCCAAAGTGCTGGGATTACAGGCGTGAGCCACTGTGCCCGGCCAGGAGAGCCTTTTTCATTCTTACCCACCCACAACCCTCCCGACAGTCCAAAGCAGGGGTTTGCAAACCACCTTCTAGCAGCAGCACTTTCCTCTAGTGAAATCTCACCCAAAGCCTCCACACACAGGCAAACAGAGCCTGCTGCTCCAGTCACCTGAAGCCGGGGCCCTGCGGCTGGACAGCCAACTGATGACCTGGCCCTGCTGTGCCTTGCACTTGCCGGTGGGACAGTATCCACGGGCACGCTGACTCCTGACCTGGCCCAGGCCAAGGCTGGCGCCCGCCTCCACCAAAGGCCCCAGAAACTTGCTGACAGCTCCAGCATCTACTCTGTAAATGACACCCAGGACTCTAGGTGGTGTCAGCTGACCTAGAGGGGTCAGGCTGCTGGATCGGCCTTGGTAGCTAATGAAGGACTGAGGTGCTGGGCAGGTCCTGCAGCCTCCCAAAGCCCCAGATGCCACCACACAGGGTTACTTCCGCTTAGCTCAGAGACCGTCCTGGGGATCGCGAGACCCTGGGGGCGCCCAGCACAGACGGCACATTGAATACATATGTCTCTCCTTTGATGATATGCACCAGGTCTTAAGAAACAGTAGAATAGGCCAGCTTCAGTGTTTACCCCAGTCTGGTTTTCTCGGCTGTGGCCCTATGGTGTCAGAGGCTGGTGAACACAGACGCTACAGGCGGCCCCGTGGGCTAAGACACATCAGCAGAGCAAACACTTCCAGCGCGTGAAAGAGCAGACAAGGATGAGTTCCGACTAAGCCAATTCAACCAGCGCACATCCAAAGTAGTAAAGGCAGCTGTTTGCAAATAAAAGATGTTGAACAGGCAAGGTTGATCCAGAATATAAAAACAGCCTGGTGTTCTTCTACCTAAGTACAGAATCCTTACCTTCGTAAGGGGTCATCTCTGGGCCTCGGACGACATAGTGCCTAAGGGAGAGAAGAAAATTACTTAGGATTTGGGGACAGCAAATTCTCCAAAACCTGAAGCATTCCAAGCCTGGGGTTTATAGGACCCAGTCAAAATTACATTCACATTCAGGCAGTGAACAGATGCAGGTGAAATGTCACACAGCCACACAGCTTCAAAGCTCCCAGTCTCTTCTACTGTGGGTGCTTTCAGTCTCTTTGTAACAGGATCTTAAAGACTATATTTTATATGTTTATCATAAAATACCTTTGTTTCTACAATATAGTTAATCCTAATTATTAATAACTGAAATCTTAAATAAATTTTAATTTCACAGTACGTTACTAAGATGTACTTGAAGACGGTAATCCCAGCACTTTGGAAGGGCATGGTGGGAAGATCACTTGAGCCCAGGAGTTTGACACCAGCCTAGGCAACACAGCAAGACCTCACCTTTATTAAAAAAAAAAAAAACAGCCAGACGTGGTAGTGCATGCCTGTGGTCGCGGCTACTCATGAGGCTGAGGCGGGAGGATGCCTGAGCCAGGAGTTTCAGGCTGCAGTGAGCTATGACTGCTACCACATCCCATCTGCGCAACAGAGTGAGACCCTATCTCCAAGGAAAAAACGATGTACTTTAAAATGTATATTCTTAAATGTACTTATACATAATGTGTTTTCTGGTATCACACACGCAGGCTAAACAGAACACAGCCAGTGATGTGGGGCCGGCTCTGTGCCCCAGCCGTTTTTCATGCTCCTGGAAAAACCATGAGTGACTTAAGCGGCTGTCCTGGAGAAGGAACAGGAACTGCCGTGATTGTCCCCAAAACCACAGTCCCCACACGGAGCTCACCCTCAGACCAGGGGCAGCAGCAAACCGACTAAACCCTCCTCCACACAAATAAACAAGGCTTCTGCTTCACGGAAAGAGGTGTCTGGGCTTTACAGATTCCCAAACCAAACAGAAGCGCACAGAGATGGAAAGTAAACCCAGCTAGAAATGCCAGAAACCAGACACGGCTGCAACTGCCAACACCAGCCAACACCAGCCATCATCTTTCCCCTTGCTCTCCCCCAGGACACGTGTGACATCAGTTTAAAACTAACGGGGGCCCAGGCTTAGTGGCTCACGTCTGTAATCCCAGCGCTCCGGGAGGCCGAGGTGGGTGGATCACCTGAAGTCAGGAGTTCGAGACTAGCCTGGTCAACATGGCGAAACTCCGTCTCTACTAAAAATACAAAAATTAGGCTGGGCGCAGTGGCTCACACCTGCAATCCCAGCACTTTGGGAGGCCGAGGCAGGTGGACTGCCTGAGGTCAGGAGTTCGAGACCAGCCTGGGCAATACGGTGAAACTCCATCTCTACTAAAACTACAAAAATTAGCTGGTCATGGTGGCGCACACCTGTAATCCCAGCTCGGGAGGCTGAGGCAGGAGAACTGCTTGAATCTGGAAGACGGAGGTTGCAGTGAGCCGAGATGGCACCGCTGCACTCCAGCCTGAGGGACAAAAATACTCAAAAGAAAATACTAATGGGATGATGTGATGCGTGCTATCTGCCAGCTGATATGTTTTCTTCAAAAAATGCCATTATCGTGTCAGTGGCCCAGGAACCCAGTGACTCCGAGCTCAGCACACGACGCACCCAGGAGTGTGGCCTTAAGTTGTTCCTATACCCAATCCCTGTACCCAAGCTGCGAACACTGGGAAGAAATAAAGAAGTCGCTCTCTTCCTGAGACAGAGCCCAGCAGCCTTGGGGCGGCCGAGACAAGATGGGATCCATGTGGCCCACAGCGCACCCCACAGGCCTTTCCTGGGAAAGCACGCTTCTCTCAGGGAGGGGAGAGACCTGTGGAGGCCCTGCCAGGGGCTCCCGCAGCACAGGCCTGACACTGACATTGTCCTCCCGGGTCAGGTGCCACCACCTGACAACCGGGGCTTACTGCCTCAACAGTATACGCAACGTGGTCTACGCTGAGCCGCTGCTCTCCTGGAAGTCCGGTATTTTGGTATTTTGGCAGGTGCCAGGCAGAGGATGCCTAGGACCAGCCCCATAAAGTCCCTGGGCCTTCCCCTAAAACGTTTCGGTTTCCAATGAGCTTCTCTGGTCAACATCCCACACGCGCCGTCCAAACCCAAGCCTGCTGCTGGGAATAGAGCACAGAGACTTTGCCCCACGTGCCTCTTCCACTGCTGTTTTCTCTCCATAATTTGTGTGTGTGCGTGCGTGTGTGTGTGGCGGAGTCTCGCTCTCTCCAGGCTGGAGTACACTGGCGCGATCTCAGCTTACTGCAACCTCCACCTCCCGGGTTCAAGCAATTCTCCTGCCTCAGCCTCCCAAGTAGCAAGTAGCTGAGATTACAGGCACACGTCACCATGCCGGGCTAATTTTTGTATTTTTAGTAGAGAACGGGTTCCACCATGTTGGCCAGGCTGGTCTCGATCTCCTAACCTCGTGATCCACCTGCCTCGACCTCCCACAGTGCTGGGACTACAGGCGTGAGCCCCCGCGTCCAGCCTCTCTCCGTAATATTAATGGTGAGTGTTCTTTGTGAATCCTCCAACCTGCACAGGGTCACAGACTTGTGGGAAACGATTCCCCACACGATGAAGGCGTCCTCGCAACCAGGGAGGCGGCGGCTACCGTGGAACTTGTCCCTCGCACCTGCCAGCAATGTCCTGGGGGGCCACATCTGATTTTCAGCACTGGGGGCAGAGAGCACTCTGGTGGCCAAGGGGCTCTGCCTCACCCTGGGTATCCTCCACCTGCCTGGGCTGGGCCTCCTCTGTGAGCCAGAGAAGGTGGACCCCTGACCAAGCAGAAACACACTTCCTTTCAACTCACTGAAGTATCTTTTCTCTGGAATTAAAAAAATTAGGCCAGGGATGGTGGCTCATGCCTGTAATCCCAGCACCTTAGGAGGCTGAGGCAGACAGATGACCTGGGATAAGGAGTTTGAGACCAGCCTGACCAATGTGGTGAAACCACATCTCTACTAAGACAGGAGAATTGCTTGAACCTGGGAGGCAGAGATCACAGTGAGCCGAGATCATGCCATTGCACTCCAGCCTGGGCAACAGAGCAAGACTGTGTCTCAAAAAAATAAATAAGGCTGGACGCAGTGGCTCACGCCTGTAATCCCAGAACTTTGGGAGGTCAAGGCGGGCGGATCACGAGGTCAGGAGATTAAGACCATCCTGGCTAACACAGTGAAACCCCATCTCTACTAAAAATACAAAAACAAAAAACTAGCCGGGCATGGTGGCGGGCACCTGTAGTCCCAGCTACTCATGAGACTCAGGTCAGAGAATGGCGTGAACCCGGGAGGCGGAGCTTGCAGTGAGCCGAGATCGCGCCACTGCACTCCAGCCTGGGCGACAGTGCTAGACTCTGTCTCAAAAAAATAAATAATTAAAAAATAAATAAATAACTTTTTCTTTTTTTCTTGAGACGGAATCTCGCTCTGTCTCCCAGGCTGGAGTGCAGTGGTACGATCTCGGCTCACTGCAAGCTCCGCCTCCCAGGTTCATGCCATTCTCCTGCCTCAGCCTCCCAAGCAGCTGGGACTACAGGCACCCGCCAACACGCCTGACTAATTTTTTGTACTTTTAATAGAGACAGGATCTCACCATGTTAGCCAGGATGGTCTCAATCTCCCGACCTCGTGATCCGCCCGCTGCGGCCTCCCAAAGTGCTGGGACTACAGGTGTGAGCCACCACGCCCGGCCATAACTTTTTTTTTTAAAGATCAAAATATAAAACATCCTCATATTTTCCTTCCTTTTTTTTTTTTTTTTTTTTTTGAGACAGAGTTTCACTCTTGTTGCCCAGGCTGGAGTGCAGTGGCGTCATCTCGGCTCACTGCAACCTCTGCCTCCCAGGTTCAAGAGATTCTCCCGTCTCAGTCTCCCGAGTAGCTGGGATTACAGGCACCTGCCATCACGCCCAGCTAATTTTTGTATTTTTGGTAGAGACGGGGTTTCACCATGTTGACCAGGCTGGTCTCAAACTCCTGACCTCAGGTGATCTGCCGGCCTCAGCCTCCCAAAGTGCTGGGATTACAGGCGTGAGCCACCATGCCCGGGCTCTCACGCTTTATTTCTTACCAAATTACTAGCAGACCTGTCATGGCGGTGTTTCTACAGAGCGGTATGCACTCTCACACTCTATACTTCAAAGGGGGAGAGTCACCATGAGGTGAACGCTTATGAGGCACAAGTCCTCTCGTTGTCAGCCTGAGGGTCGGGGCACCTGGCCCAAGCCAGTGCCAGGGACAGGAGTATCGGACCCTAGTCCAAGCCAAAACAGGCTGATTCCCGTATCCAGAAGCAAAGACCAGAGTCTAGAAAAGCAGTTTCTCCTTTAAGTGCCTGGAGCACACATCAGCAGCAGCTGTGAGCCCTGCATACCTGGACCCCTCCCCCAAGGACCCCACACCAGAGATTCTCTCCAGCCCCAGCCTGAGGCAACCTGGACCCCTCCCCCAAGGACCCCACACCGGAGATTCTTTCCAGCCCCAGACTGAGTCAAGCAGGGTTCTGTGACATCCCCAGCATGCGGCCATTGGGAAAAGACCGGAGAGTGTCCACCGGCCCCTGGGCACCCACTCACCCCTGGGGAGGGTGCAGGAGCACCTTGCCAATGCCATGACTGGGGCACCAGGCTCACCCAGCCAGGCCAGCAGAGGCCTGCGTGGCAGCGAGAGTCAGTGCAAGGTGATCAGTGGCGCAGCCTTACCACTCCAGAATATTCGAAGGGAGGGGCTCGGCACAGATGTAGGGCACTGGGTCTTTCTTAATGCGAAGGTAGTCCTGCTTCAGCCTCTGGGTTGCTGTGGTTGGAGCCCTCTTATTGCTGGTGCTGCTCATCTGTTAAAAACAATGTCTACACTGACAAAGAAAAGTGGTGCTGGCCACAGCTCTCCCCCCAACGCGGCTCCACTCCCGTTTCTGCAGCCCACCACTCATTCAGCGCCCAGCCGTAACGTACACACCTCAGCCCAGTCACCCAGAGTCACAGCTCACAGGTCACCCTGACTTGCCACCCGCCCAGATACCCAGAGGCCCTGCGGCTTCTTTTCCCATCTGTCCCGCCACCGCCTTCATTGACACAACGTACAGCTCAGGTACAAAGAGGAGGAGAAACCCAAAGCCGGGCTCCCGTCCTCAAAGAACTCACACAGGGATACACTTACGGGGCCTGAGGTGGTGCTAAGGCCACAGCCTCAGACCAGCTCCTGAGGGCAGCTACTCGCACCTTCCAACTCTGAGCTCACTGACGGAGAATCCACACCATGGAAATGGGCAGGCACCACCGCCAGCCCCTCCACTGCACCCAGAAGCTGCCCAACATTTACCACTGGCCACAAGCAAAAGGAGCCGCAGAATGGGGAAGCCTCTGCGGCTGGAGTGATGAAGACGCTGGAGACTCCGAGGCACTCGCTGGGCAGAGGAGCAGCTGTCTTCCTGGTAGAAGGGGCCACAGGTGAACAAGCCACACCTGAGAAAGTCCAGTGTGCAGGAGCCCAAGCACAGTGAGGGCACGGATAAGACTGGCCAGGGAGGCAGAGCCAGGGCATAAGGGTTTATTTTCTTATTTTTTGTGAGACAAGGTCTTGCTCTGTCGCCCAGGCTGGAGTCACTGCAGCCTTGACCGCCTTGGCTCAAGCAATCCTACCACCCCAGCCTCCTGAGTAGCTGAGACTACAGACGCGTGCCACCACGCCTAGCTAATTTTTTATTTTTTGTAGAGATGGGATCTCATTGTGTTGCCCAAGCTGGTCTCAAACTCCTGGCCTCAAGTGATTCTCATGCCTCAGCCTCCCAAAGTGCTAGAATTATAGGCATGAGCCACTGCAACCTGGGCCCCACAGGGGTTTTCAGTCCAAGCCTTAAGGCAGATCGTATCTTCTGTTAGGAAGGTCACTCTGGTGGCTCCAGGTGGGACATTTAAGACAGCACTGCAGGCCGAGCACGGAGCGTGAGGCACCATCACGCAAGAGAAGAGGCTGGATCAGGGACCCCAAGGCCCCTCAGCCATGCCCCAGGCTGGGGAGAGGGGTGGTGATGAAAACAGGACTCCCCGCTGCATCAGACTAGCTCCAACTCAAACCTCTTTTATTTATATTTATTTTTTTTGAGACAGACTCTTCACTGTTCACTGCCCAGGCTGGAGTGCAGTGGCGTGATCTCCGCTCACTGCAACCTCTGCCTCCCAGGTTCAAGCGATTCTCCTGCCTCAGTCACCCAAGCAGCTGGGATTACAGGCACTTGCCACCACACTAGGCAATTTTTTTTTGTATTTTTAGTAGAGACGGAGTTTCACCATGTTGGTCAGGCTGGTCTCGAACTCCTGACCTCAGGTAATCTGCCCACCTCAGCCTCCCAAAGTGCTGGGATTACAGGCGTGAGCCCCCCGTGCCCAGCCATGGCCACACGCTTTAATAAGGTCCCTGGACATCAATGGTGATCAATAATGGCCAGTGACCAGTGATCTCCATCCTGACCTCCCAGTTCCCACAAACCTGAAGCCGACTCTACCAGCTTCCCTGCTGATATGCTTTGGCTGTGTCCCCATCCAAATCTAATCTTGAATTGTATTCCCGTAATCTCCCATGTCGAGGGAGGGACCTGGTGGGAGGTGATTGGATCGTGGAAGTGGTTTGCCCCAAGCCGTTCTCAGGAGAGCTGACGGTTTACAAGGCAGTGTTCGCTGCTCTTGCCCGCTCTCTTGCCCGCTGCCATGTAAAACATGCCTCTTTCCCTTCTGCCATGGTTGTAAGTTTCCTGAGGCCTCCCTGGCCGTGCGGAACTGTGAGTCCATTAAACCCCTTTTCTTTATAAATTACTTTATTTATTTATTTATTTATTTTTTGAGACAGAGTCTCGCTCTGTTGCCCAGGCTGGAGTGCAGTGGCCGGATCTCAGCTCACTGCAAGCTCCGCCTCCCGGGTTCACGCCATTCTCCTGCCTCAGCCTCCAGAGTAGCTGGGACTACAGGCGCCTGCCACCTCGCCCGGCTAGTTTTTTGTATTTTTTAGTAGAGACAGGGTTTCACCATGTAAGCCAGGATGGTCTTGATCTTGTGACCTTGTGATCCGCCCGTCTCGGCCTCCCAAAGTGCTGGGATTACAGGCTTGAGCCACCGCACCCGGCCTTCTTTATAAATTACTGAGTCTCGGGTACATCTTTATAGCAGCATGAGAACCAACTCACACACCTGCAAACAGCCACACACTCTACCTCCCTTCAGTCTCCGCCTGCAAGAGATCTCCAGACTTGGACTCTCTGACTGGTTTATTCCTTCTCAGAGAATCATCACCAGTGGCCTGTTCAGTGTCTGTTCCCAACCTGAGGATGGCGATGGCCAGGGCTTGGCTGCTCACCCCACACACCCAGGGCCTGGAGTGCAGAGCTCAGCCAGGGCACCCACAGCGTGCTCCCAAATGTGTAGCCGAGGCACCACCCCCGACCCTGCGTCTTGTTCTGGGGTCCCTGACTCTTGCAATCCTTGTTCACCACATCCTTCCCACTCCCATTATCCTCTCTAATGCAGAATGGCGTCACTTCTTCCATCAGCACCACAGCAGCCTCCCAACTCCCTCCGTGAGTCCAGAAGGTCTGAGCTTCTAGTCTCTTCCCATCTCAAGGCCCTCTTGTACCCCTAAGTCCACACACTGTTCTGATCACCCACTGCCCCAACCACCCTTCAGGCTGCTCCACAGTCAAGCAAAGAAAAATCAACACCTCCTCCTGCCTGCCAGCCCCTTGACAGAGCAGCCCCAGTCAGCCCTCCCCGTTTCCAACTCCCAGGACCCAGCACAGCCCAGGCCCCACTCCAAACCCCTGACCGACACACTCCTTCTCACAGCTGCTTCCCAGCCTAGACTCTACTGGAAACTCCCCTAGGCCCTTCCGGGCCACCGCCTTCAGAGGCCTCCCTGATTTCCCTGCCAAATGCCTCCCACTGTCACACATCACTGGCCTCCATGTGACCCCACACACCACGCAGGGCCCTTTCGGGCCCCAGCAGAGGCAAGGGCGGGCTCCTCTGCCTAAGGAGTGCCTCCCCAGGAGGGCCCTCACCAGGAATGGGGTTCTAGTCCTGCCCGGCAAGGAAGTGCTCCACACAGTGGCATCCCCAGCTCCAGGCTCAAGAAGCCAATGGGCCAGGGATCTCCCCTCAGGCCAACACCTGGTGATGGACACAGCGATGACCCCAAGCAGCACTCTACACAGGCCGTCCTTTCAAACGCTCACCCTGAAGCTAACACTCTGCCATATACAAAATAATTCACTGGACAATTCAAGTACAGGTGTGTCTGGGCTTAGCTAAGTGGCCAGGCTGCGGGTTTAATGAAAGGTCATGGACAGCCACGCAAAAATAAAATAGATTCCATCAAGTCAGTCACAAGCAAGCTTCCCTCCCATACTTGCTTGGAGAGGCTTTTAAAATCATGTTCACGATTCAACTGCTGTTTCCCCAGACACCCTTCCTGAGCTTCACACAGAACAGCGTTGTCACGTCCCCCAAGGCGCCAGGGGGCGACTTCCCCCAATTCATCTCATCCCAATATGACAGCAGGAAGGACAAGAAAAATAAAAATCCACAAAGGGGCTGGGCATGGTAGCTCACACCTGTAATCCCAGCACTTTGGGAGGCCGAGGTGGGCGGATCACCTGAGGTCGGGAGTTCGAGACCAGCCTGACCAACATGGTAAAACCCTGTCTCTACTAAAAATACAAAATTAGTCAGGTGTGCTGGCAAATGCCTATAATCCCAGCTACTCGGGTGGCTGAGACAGGAGTATCGCTCGAATCCAGGAATTGGAGGTTGTGGTGAGCTGAGATCACGCCATTGCACTCCAGCCCAGGCAACAAGAGCGAAACTCCATCTCAAAAAAAAAAAAAAAAAATTAGCCGGGTGTGGTGGTGGGCACCTGTAATCCCAGCTACTCTGGAGGCTGAGGTGGGAGAATTACTTAACTCCGGAGCTGGACACTGCAGTGAACTGAGATCATGCCACTGCACTCTAGCCAGGGCAACAGAGACCCTGTCTCCAAAAAAAAAAAAAAAAAATCCACAAAGGAAGCAAACTGTGAGAACAGAGTTTGAAGCATATGTGCCTCGGGTTCCCTTCAAACATCCCCACAGACAAGGGACACCAAGCACATCATCCTGCTGAGAGAAAGAGCTGGCGATTTTAAAACAAAAAGGTACAGAAAAAAAACGTTTACACGGAAACTGCATAAAAGCAGCGTGAATCACCGAAGGCAGCTGTGCCCAGGCGCTGAGACAGTGGCTGCCCAGCATCCCTCACCCATCCCTCTTTGTCTGGACAGCTCTTTCCTGCTTAGGGATGTGGCAGGAAACCTTGGCCTGACCCATCTGCCAGGCGCGTGGCACGCCCAGGTCCAGGACTGCCACGGAAGTCTCTGCCTTCTCCACCAGACTGCTCCGAAGGCTGGATGGAAGCCCGGGCCGATGGAGGTGGGACACTCACCTGTAACGCACACATGCACCTGCCTGTCACTCACACATGTGCCTGCCTAGAGCGGAGCTGCTAAGGAGGTCAGCGGTGCCAGGCCGAGTAGATGACGGACTGCGAGTTCCGGTCACCCAGACCCAACCACGCCCTAGGCTCAGGTGCTGGACTTTTGGATTAAGCGAGATACTCACTTCTTCGGAAGCCAGATTACACCGTCTGTTTCCCCTGGGGCAGGACGCGGGGCCGCCGACCTGCCCCAGCCAAGCCTGCTGTACGCTCCTCGCTGCCCTCCCACCGGGCTGAGGCCCGACCTTTCAGCCGCTTCCTATCTGGGTCTGGCAAGAGGGTGGCAACCGGACTTGAGTTAAATACACACGCACTAAGTGGCAGGCGTTGAAAAGGAGGCCAGGAGGTGACACCTGGCCAGGGACTGAGAGGGTGCAGGGAATTGGCAGGTGTGGACGGCGAGGCCCGGCGCAGCTCAGGGACTTGTTCCGGGCTCGTGTCTTACTCCCGCCGGCCGGCGGTGGAGCCAGACTCCGGTCTCCCACTGTCACCGCCCGGGCTTCCCAGAAACGCCGGCCCCGAGCACCGTCCCGGGCACGCTCGTTTCTCTCGTGCCTCTCGGGGCAGTGTGGGGTCTAACAGTTCAGGGCGAGGCGGCGGCGGGCTCAACGGCAGCCCTCCCCCGACACAGACTCCCGGGATCCACTGACAAACCAGGATCGAGGCTGCCCGTCCTGGGGCAGCCGCAAGTGTCCCAACGGACGGGAGACCCGGCCTAGCGGTCAAGTCCCCGACCTGACCCTGCCCCGGAGCTCCGGGAGCCCGCCGTAACCGACCTCGGGTTCCGCGCAGGCTCAGGCCAGGGCCCCGCGGGCGGCGGGCGCGAACGGAGAAGCGTCGCGCAGGGTCCCCCGCAGCCCCGGGCCGCCGCTGTGGCCGGCTCCGGCGGGGCGGTCGAGCGGGCCCGAGGACCCGGCGCAGGCCTGCGAGCGCGCTCACCTCTCCCTGTCGCTGCGCGTGGGCCGCCGCCGCGCTCAGGCTCGCCGTGATCGAGGCCGGAGCAGGGTGCGGAAAAGCGGGGCCCGCGCCCGAAACAGCCACACCGCGCCGGGACTGGGCCCACCGAACCCGTCGCAGGGCCGCCGCCGCCTCAACCTCCAAGATGGCCGCTCGCGGGGCGGAACCAGCCTAGTTTCTGCTTCCGGTGCGCGTTCCCTGGGGGGCGGGGGCGCCGCTCTAGGCAGCCTGGAGGACCGCGCCCACCACTCTCTGTCGCCGCCGGCGCCGGGCGGGGGAGGGCGGGGCGGTCGGCGCGTGCGCACTGGCGGGCGGCTGCGGGCACCGTTAGTGGGCGCGAAAGCCCCGGACCCCGAAGCCGCGCGCTTACGTCCCCACGTGCCACGGCCCAGGGCGGCAGGCCCGGCTGAGGGCGACCCCGGTGGAGAAAGGACCCCGACCCTCCCGCCTCCCGGCTCCCGCCTTGTCCTCCGCTCCCACACCCTGCCCGGCCCTTAGGGGAGGCGCGGCGCGGCCCCGGCGTGGAGCGTCCCGGGCTCCTGGAGGCCTGGCTCGTTCAGGGACCCGAGAGTGACACGCGTGGGATCGCTTTGCAACCCACGTCCGCGCCCCAGCACCCTCTCCTGCGGGAGCCTTCCCAGCCCGGGGACGCCCCCGCCCCAGCACCCTCCCCCTGCAGGTGCCTGGCCCAGTCCCGGGACGCCCCGACCTCCCTCTGGACAGACTTTAGAAAGCGCGGGGCGCTGCGTCCTCTCCACCTCTCTCTGACCCCAGACACATTGGGAGGGAGCTGTAGGTGGCCGGGCGCTGGGGTGGGACGCTAAGGTCAGGCACACAGCCCACCGCCTCACCGAGAGGCAGCTAAGGACCGCGGGGAGCTGAGGGTGGTCCCCTGGTGGGGGATTGGGAGGTGGACCTCGCCACCTGGCTGCCTGTGGCCCTGTCCTTTGCCCCAACCCTGATGGCCTCTCAGAGACAACCACAGGTCAGCAAGGTGGCTGAACACTGAGGGTGGGTCCCGCTGTGGCTACGGGCAGAGGGCAGTCTGTGTCCATGCTCAGCCTGACTCTGCCCCTCGGAGACACCTTGGTAGGGGTCTGAGACGCTGCTGCAGGTCCTGGGGCAGAAGCCAGGAGGAATGTCCACACAGCCCCAGCCCGTGGGAATCCAGCCTGCCTCCATTCCTGACGTCACAGGCACCACCTTTGGAAAACAGCTCAGCATCCAGCCTCCTTCCTCTGCCTCCTCTCAGGCCTCTGCCGTTCCCAGGCAGGGCGGGCCGAGCTGGTTTTACAGCATGGAAAGTTATGTAAGGGAAGCCACACCGGCCGCAGATACAGGCACCAGCACGTCCACTCGCTTGCACACTCACGGCTGTGGCCCGTGGCAGATGGAGGCCCGCCCTGCCTTGTTTGTCCCTCAGTAGTGTGAGATGAGAGCGCACCTTTGGGGACTCTGCAGGTGGGAAAGCGGCAGTGAGGCTCAGCTCAGAGGATCCTGCTCAGGAGCATGGCTGAGTCACACCCCAGGGAGAAGGTGCCCGGGACGGGTGTGGCCAGCATGCCTTGCCAACCCCCCACCATGGCCCTTACCCCACCCACCTGCATTTGTGGCCTTCTGGTAAGCAGGACACAGGCTGCCCAGGCCTTAGCCAGTGGGATCGGCACAAGCAGCTAGGTTGGTGGCGGATAGTGGCTGTAACCTTCTCAACCCTGAGATTGCCCTCCGAGGGCAGGAGCAGCCCTTCGGCTGTGGGCCGGCCCTCAGGAGGGACTTCCTCTGGCATCTTCAGGAATAGGACAACAGGGACCACCCTCAGCATCTTGGGCAGTGGGGGGCACCCTCTGCTTTGGGGACCCAATGAAACATCCCCCAACCCAGTTGCCACCTCCTGCCCCCACCTCCTCCAGCCCCCAGGGTCGGACCAGAAAGCCTTGGCTGCCTCTGAACAGCAGGGACTGTCTGGCCGGCGGGGGCTTGAGGGACAGAGAATCCCAGCCTGGAGGGTGCAAACCCAAAAGCATCTGAGGAAGGTCTCAGTCCCTTTAGAAAATTTGTTTTGCCAAGGTTAAGAACACACCCATGACAGCCTCAGGAGGTGCCCAAGGTGCTTGTGGCACAGCTTGCTTTTATACATTTTAGGGAGACATGATTTATTTACACGGGTTCAATCGGAAAGGGCAGGATAAGTTGGGGTGGTGTGGGCAGACTTCTAGGTTATAGGTAGATTCAAAATGATTCTGATTGACAGTTGGTTGAAAGAGTTATTCTCAACAGAAAGGAATGTCTGGGTTTCAGTAAGGGGTTGTGGTTTTCCATGCAGCTGAAGCCTCGGGTCTCCAGCTTCAGAGAGAATACCTTGTAAATGTTTCCTATCAGACTTAAGGCCTGTGTTGATGTCAATGCTGGTCGGCTTTTCCTGAATTCCAAAAGGGAGGAGGCATGACCTACAACCCCTTCCCACCATGGCCTGAGCAAGTTTCCAGGTTAACACTGGAATGTCCTTGGCTGAGAGGAGGGCTCCATGCGGATGGTCGGGGGGCCTTAGGGTTTAATTTTTGGTTTGCATTCACCCCTTCTGGCCAAGATTTGCCAGAGGCAACATCAATGGCTACCAAATCTTTATTGTGTCTCATAGCATTGCTGGGCTGGTATGGCTGCCTACCCTGGGTCAATCCTGCCCCTCAGTAGGACTCCCTACGACCCAGGGACTTAGAGTTAAAAGATTTACAGCCCATTAAAATTTCTAGGCCAGATAGGAATGGACATGGACCAGCATTCATTACCCCTTAAAACAATTTTTTTTGTTGTTAGATGGAGTCTCGCTCTGTCCCCCAGGCTGGAGTGCAGTGGCCTGATCTCGGCTCGCTGCAGCCTCCGCCTCCCAGGTTCCACTGAGTCTCCTGCCTCAGCCTCCTGAGCAGCTGGAACTATAGGCGTGCACCACCACACCTGGCTAATTTTGGGATTACAGGCATGAGCCACCATGCCCGACCTATCATGTAACATTTTTATAAATTCCTTTTTTACTAAATGTATTGCAGCTTACACAGACCATTCACGACCTGTGGACTTTCTAGATTGTCCTGAACATCCCTTTTTTAAAACAACCAGTCATTTATTTAAGGACATTTACCATACAAGATTCTTTCTCATATAAAATTATTTTTCTTTTAACCTTACTTAACAAAAAGAACTCTTTATATCTGTAACTTCCCTCAGTCTCCCTTATTTTCTTGTTCTTTTTACTTCATTTTATACATAAACTTTAAATAAGCTTTGAATTAGACAAAATTATTTACCTTTTAATAAGAAATTTTGTAGAAAGAACGTTTTCCTATAATTTTTTTTTTTTTTTTTTTTTACATGCAGTCTCACTCTGTTGCCCAAGCTGGAGTGCAATGGCTCGATCTCAGCTCACTGCAACCTCCCCTTTCCAGGTTCAAGTGATTCTCCTGCCTCAGCTTCCTGAGTAGCTGGGAGTACAGGCATGCGCTACCACACCTGGCTAATTTTTGTATTTTTCAGTAGAGATGGGGTTTTGCCATGTTGGCCAGACTGGTCTCAAATTCCTGATCTCAGGTGATCTATCTGCCTCGGCCTCCCAAAGTTCTGGGATTACAGGCGTGAGCCACCATGCATGGCATTCAGCTGGGTTTAGAGTTTTATAATGCTTATGCCAAGTTTTGACCCCTTATAAATCAATAAATGCAAACAAAAATGTATGCTGACAGTGTTAAAGACACTTTTTATATTACTTTACCAATACTTTTGGCTGGGCACAGTGGCTCATGCTTGTAATCCCAGCACTCTGGGAGGCCGAGGCGGGCGGATCACGAGGTCAGGAGATCAAGACTGTCTTGGCTAACACGGTGAAACCCCGTCTCTACTAAAATATACAAAAAATTAGCCAGGCGTGGTGTCGGGCGCCTGTAGTCCCAGCTACTCAGGAGGCTGAGGCAGGATAATGGCCTGAACCCAAAAGGTGAAGCTTGCAGTGAGCCGAGATCACGCCACTGCACTCCAGACTGGGGGCAGAGCGAGACTCCATCTCAAAAAAAAAAAAAAAGATTTTACTTAAGTCACGTGAAATTTGTTATTATGTACTAAATGTATGGGTACTCCTTAACTTAAGCCAATTTGGTACCTTATGGCCACAAAACATATAACGGAATCCACATACGTACACATACACACATCTGAACACACATGCACACTCATACAAAAACCCTACAGCTTTTACTTTACACCTCTAACCATGACATATCAACACAAAGTCACTGGTCAGAAAAGCAATAACAGAAAGAAACATCTAGATGCAAACTATGGATGTCATCTCAGTAGAAAAGTAACAGCTGGTCGGGCACAGTGGCTCACACCTGTCATCCTGGCATTTTGGTAGGCCAAGGCGAGCGGATTGCCTGAGGCCAGGAGTTCAAGACCAGCTTAGCCAACACGGTGAAACCACGTCTCTACTAAATTTACAAAAATTAGCCAGGCATAGTGGCGCACACTTGTAATCCCGGCTACGGCTACTTGGGAGTCTGAGGCAGGAGAATAGCTTGAACCCGGGAGGCAGAGGTTGCAGTGAGCCAAGATCACACCACTGCACTCCATCCTGGGCGACACGGTGAGACTCTGTCTGAAAAAAGTAAAAAGTAACAGCAACTTTAAAGCAGGCAGCAAAGGAAACAGAGAGGTAGAGAACTTAGGAACTCTACAGTTCGTTTTTTTCTTTTTCTTTTTCTTTTTTTTTTTTGAAACAGAGTTTTGCTCTTGTGGCCTTGGCTGGGGTGCAATGGCATGATCTCAGCTCCCTGCAACCTCCGCCTTCCAGATTCAAGCTATTCTCCTGCCTAAGCTTCCTAGGTAGCTGGGATTACAGGTGGATGCCACCACGCCCGGCTCATTTTTGTGTTTTTAGTAGAGATGGGGTTTCACCCTGTCGGCCAGGCTGGTCTCGAACTCCTGACCTCAGGTAATCCGCCCACTTTGGCCTCCCAAAGTGCTGGGATTACTGGGTAAGCCACCGCACCTGGCCAGGAACTCTGTAGTTCTATAGTTGCAGGCCGACCTTTGGGCTCTGAATTTTTCCTGGATGGAATTTGCCCATCAGTTTAAAATGTGCCCCAAAAGACCATAATATGAAGCCAGCTGGGGCACTAGGAAACCCAGCATGCCCTTGACATTTTCAGTTTTACATCAACACTTGCAAGTAGAGGCGCCGTAAAACCAGCGGGTGCCTGGAAGGAGGTAGTTCCCTGTCTTTCCTGAGTCTTACATTATTTATTTCCCACTTTTTTTTTTCTTGAAAGGAGGAACTGGGCTGTGGCCCGGAGTTCCGTGGAGCGGGCTGAGTGTGCCGGTTGTGGACGGGTCGTGGGCGGGACTCCACAGTGTGTCACCACTGAGGCATCTCCGCCCTCTTACGTGTCTCAGTTTCTCTCTCTAGAAGTCCAACACCTCTGAGAGGACTGAGAACACGGAGTGAGCAGCTCCTGCCTGCATCTCCTGGACGAGCCTTTAAACTGATTGTGTTGGGGGTCCCTGGGGAGCTGCTGCACGTTGGGGGGGATCAGCCCACAAGACACACCCGCTTGGCTCACAGTCACCCAGGGGCGCCTTTCAGCTGGGAGGAGCAAAATGCCTTTCTTTCCGGAGCTGAGAAAACTCAGTCTCTCATTTGTCTATACAAACAACAATTCAGTTCCTCATACAAATGCACGGACAAGCCAGTTGGGCTTAATTTTGGGAGAAAAAGCAACAGAGAAGACCCCAGGAGTGCATGTCTGAGCTAGAAGAAAATGGGGTCGTTCTCCTTGTCTTAAGAAAAAGGTGGCTGGTTGGTGTGGCTGACACCTGTAATCCCAGCACTTTGGGAGGCCGAGGCGGGCGGATCACGAGGTCAGGAGATCGAGACCATCCTGGCTAACACGGTGAAACCCCGTCTCTACTACAAATACAAATATTAGCCGGGCGTGGTGGCGGGCGCCTGTAGTCCCAGCTACTCGGGAGGCTGAGACAGGAGAATCACTTGAACTCGGGAGGTGGAGGTTGCAGTGAGACGAAATCTCACCACTGCACTCCAGCCTGGGCGACAGAGCAAGACTCCGTCTGAAAAAAAAAAAAAAAAAGACCAGCTAGTTGTCCATTTTAGTCATTAAGGAGGATTTCCAAGAAAAAAACCCCAATTCCGCTACTTCCCTAGGAATGGGGCCCCGTTCAAGACTGCTGTCTACCCTCCTGAAAACAGGAACTAAAATTCGAACTCCCCTTCCCTGTTGGATGTGAGCTCGGACTCCAGAAGTTACCAGCCTTCCATGGTCATGGAGGCAAGTAAAACTCCAGAAAATGATTCACACAGCAAAATAAACTTCAGATCTCAACCAAATTCTGAGAGGTCAGGAATTGTGTGGGGAGCTCTGAGGCCTCCGTAAATCGTCCTATTGGTCTGAGCCATAAGGAGAGCTTTAGCTGGTACCAGGCACCAATAGGAAATCTGTCAAAGGTGAGGGGCACCGCCATTCAGAAGCCCTTCATGGTTACCAAGGTGCGAATCCAGAAGTATCTGAGACACGTCTCAACCAGTTTAGAAGGTTTATTTTGCCAAGGTTAAGGCCGTGCCCGGGACAGGGCCTCGGAGGTCCTGACGACACGTGCCCGAGGTGGTGTGGGTACAGCTTGCTTTCGTACTTTTTTTTTTTTTTTGAGATGGAGGCTCACTGTGTCCCCCAGGCTGGAGTCCAGTGGTGTGATCTCCATTCACTACAAGCTCCACCTCCCGGGTTCACACCATTCTCCTGCCTCAGCCTCCCAAGTAGCTGGGACTACCATGCCCAGCTAATTTTTGTAGTTTTAGTAAAGACAGGATTTCACTGTGTTGGCCAGGATGGTCTCGATCTCTCGACCTTGTGATCCTCCTGCGTTGGCCTCCCAAAGTGCTGGGATTACAGGGGTGAGCCACTGCGCCCTGCCTTACACTTTAGGGATATGAGACATCAATCAATACATGTAAGATTTACATTGGTTCCATCTGGAAGGGTGGAACAACTCGAACGGGGGCTTCCAGGTCATAAGTAGATTTAAAATTTTTCTGGGCCAGGTGCAGCTGCTCACACCTGTAATCCCAGCACTTTGGGAGGCCGAGGTAGGCAGATCACTTGAGCCCAGGAGTTCAAGATCAGCCTGGGCAACATAAGACCCTATCTCTACAAAAAATACAAAAATTATCAGGGTGTGGTGGCACGTGCCTGTGACCCCAGCTACTGGAGAGGCTGAGGCAGAAGAATCGTTTGAACCTAGAAGGCAGAGGCTGCAGTGAGCCGAGGTCACACCACTGCACTCCAGCCTGGGCGACAGAGCAAAACTCTGTCTCGAAAAAAAAAAAAAAAATCTGATTGGCAATTGGTGGAAAGAGTTATTATCAGTAGAAGGGAATGTCTGATTACAATATGGGGTTATAGAGATGAAGGTTTTATCACAGATGAAGCCACCAGGTCACAGGCCTCAGAGAGAAGCAACTATAAATGCTTCTCGTCCGACTCAAGGTCTGAGGTGATGCTGATGCTGGTCAGCTGTGCCTGAATTCCAACAGGGAGGACGCACGAGTCGCGTCCTACCCCCTTCCCATCGTGGCTGAGCTAGTTTTTCAGGTTAACTTTGGAATGCCCGTGGCTGAGACCAGGGGTCCACTCAGACAGTTCAGGGCTTACAATTTTATTTTTGGTTTATGAGGGAACCTAGAAGGCAGCCCATACACACCTCACTCCTCCCAGTGGGGGACACCGGCCAGACCCCAGGCTCCACCCTCCCACCCTCAGCACCCACCCAGGCTAGCAGCTGGGGGCACCTTAGTGCCTGTTCTGTGGGGGCTCCACCAGACAGTGCAACTGATGCTCAGGGCTGAGGGGCCTCTGCCTGGGAGGCTCTTCACCTGCCTGGGTACAGGACCCCAGAAGGACCCCAGGCCACTCCTGGCCTGCCCACGCCCACAGGAACCCTTGACCTTGGGCTGCATGTCTGTTGCACCAGAACCCTCCCAGGGCTGACTCAGAGTGACCCTGAGTGGGGGATGCTCACCCCAGGGGAAGAAACTGGGCTCTGGGGTAGGAGGTCCTGGCTGGGGTCCCACAGATGCCAGGCGCCTGCCATCTCCAGGGCGGCGCTGGCATGGGAGACAACACCGCTCCCTCATTACCTGTGGCCTGGCTACCTTAGTGGCCCAAAGGGGTGAGCTCCCAGCCTTGCTCGGTAAATGGGGCCTGGCCATCCTTCCTGGGAAAGGGCAGAGGCATGGGGCCAGAGGGAGCCAGGGATGCCTGCCCGTCCCTTCTCTCATTCAGGCTCACGTGATCATGGTGCAGTGACCACAGGACCCCCACATGCCAGGAACTGGGTTCGCTCCACCCTACCCCCTGCACCGGGCCAGCGAGGGGATGACCAGAAGTGGGGAGGACCATTTGGCTTCACCAGCACTGGACATGTGCTCTGTGGCCACCCCCTCTGCCTCCTCTCTGGCCCCATACAGGGGTGTGGGACGGGTGACTGAACCTCAGCCCTTCAAGGCCTTCTCCAGGGGGACGGGAGGAGAGTGTCGCCGGGAGCTGCGTGATCCAGCTGAGATGTGCTTGGACTCAGGCCCTGCAGGGCTTGGGTCACTGAAGGTGTGCCCTGCCCCCCGCCAGGGCTCCCCGTCCCACAGGAAGCCGGGGGCCGTGCTCCCTGTAAGCTGCCCTTTGGCTGGACCAGGCCCCTCTGGCCGGACTTGGGCTCTCTCCCTCTCTGCACCAAGGCCGGGCTCCCTGCCAGGCCGGGCTCTCTGCCAGGCCACTCCCAGGGACACAGGGAGGCGCAGGCCTGCTTCCAGCCACAATCGCTCACAAGCTCCTAGGACCTTGCCCCCGGCTGCCAAGTAGCCCCCGGGCCATGTGTGCCCTGTCTCCTCGGCAGGTGCGCCCACAAAGCTGCCCAGATGTGGTGGGGGAGATGCCCCAGGCCTGTGCTGCGTCCGGGGACCCTGCCGCTGGCCTGTGGGGTCTCCGTGACATCAGCTCCCCCTGCCACGAGCTTGCAGAGGCGCCCCAGCTCCATGTAGCACTCGAGGAAATCAGCGCAGAGAGGTTGAGTAACTCGGGAAGGCCACACAACCAGTGACGAAGCTGTGATTCTCACGGGCCTGGGTGACTCCAGCACGACTTCCCTCTCCGGGACGTCACTGGTGGCAGCTGCTTCCTTCCAGAGCCTGCAGGAGGTGACCTCATCCTCCTCAGAGCCATGGCTCTGCTGCTGGACCCTGTGGGGCTGGGCTCCCCCAGCCAAGCCAGGGACCACTTGGGGCAGGATGTCAGGAACACGGAGCCCACCCTTCCAACCTGGGCCCGGCTGCGTCTGGTCATCTGGGATGGTGAGGCCACCTGGATATCTAGGGTCCCACAGTAGACAGGGGTGGGGTGGTCCGTCCGGGGGGACGGGGACACCTGCTTTCCACACACAACCACACTGGGGCTGAAGATGCCAGCCTGGGAGACTGTGATTTGGACCCTGACAGTAGCATGTGGTCTTAGCGTGTGCGAGGTCTTAGCGTGTGTGTGGTTTTAGCATGTGTGAGGTCTTAGCATGTGCACAGTCTTAGCATGTGTGTGGTCTTAGCATGTGTGAGGTCTTAGTGTGTGCATGGTCTTAGCATGTGTGAGGTCTTAGCGTGTGTGAGGTCTTAGCATGTGTGTGGTCTTAGCATGTGTGTGGTCTTAGCATGTGTGAGGTCTTAGCATGTGCATGGTCTTAGCATGTGCATGGTCTTAGCGTGTGTGAGGTCTTAGCATGTGTGTGGTCTTAGCATGTGTGTGGTCTCAGCATGTGTGAGGTGTTAGTGTGTGCATGGTCTTAGCGTGTGTGAGGTCTTAGCATGTGTGAGGTCTTAGCATGTGAACGGTCTTAGCATGTGCGAGGTCTTAGCATGTGTGTGGTCTTAGCATGTGTGAGGTCTTAACGTGTGCATGGTCTTAGCGTGTGTGAGGTCTTAGCATGTGTGTGGTCTTAATGTGTGTGAGGTCTTAGCATGTGTGTGTTCTTAGCGTGTGTGAGGTCTTAGCGTGTGTGAGGTCTTAGCATGTGTGTGGTCTTAGCATGTGTGAGGTCTTAGCATGTGCATGGTGTTAGCATGTGTGAGGTCTTAGCATGTGTATGGTCTTAGTGTGTCGTGAGTCACTTTCTTTTTTTTTTTGAGATGGAGTCTCACTCTGCCATTCTCCCGCCTCAGCCTCCCGAGTAGCTGGGACTACAGGCACTGCCACCACGCCCGGCTCATTTTTTGTATTTTTAGTAGAGATGGGGTTTCACCATGTTAGCCGGGATGGTCTCGATCTCCTGCCCTAATGATCCACCCTTCTCGGCCCCCCAAAGTGCTGTGATTACAGGCGTGAGCCACTGCGCCCAGCCGTCGTGAGTCACTTTCATGTGTGCCAGCATCTTGGTGTGTGTGGTGTGAGTGTGGACTGAAAACATGCTGCGCCCTTAGCGTGTGACACGTCATATTAGCGTGTGATGCGTCATCTTAGTGTGTGGTGTGGTTGGTGGCGGCTGTAGTGTCCAGCAGGGAGGGTGAGCCCCTGTGCCCACTCAGGGGAGCAGGTGCCGTCTCCACACCGGGCCCTTGGTGGTTCCCACATTAGCACCTGTCCCAGTGGCTGGGCCTCTGGTCCCGAGAGACACTGGATCTGGGAGCCGAGGTCCCCACCCAGTGTCTGTCAGCCACACACTCTTGTGGTCAGAGCTGCAGGGAAGGGAGGGAGTGCTGGGAGCCCACAACAGCCCCGGATCTGAGTTCCAGGAGCCGGCAGAAAAAGATGGGGCTTCCGGGCCGGGCGCGGTGGCTCAAGCCTATAATCCCAGCACTTTGGGAGGCTGAGGTGAGCGGATCACCTGAGGTTGGGGGTTCAAGACCAGCCTGACCAGCATGGATAAACCCCATCTCTACTAAAAATACAAAATTAGCCGGGCATGGTGGCACATGCCTATAATCCCAGCTACTGAGCAGGCTGGAGCAGGAGAACTGCTTGAACCCGGGAGGTGGAGGTTGCAATGAGTCGAGATTGCGCCACTGCACTCTAGCCTGGGCAACAAGAGTGAGACTCCATCTCAAAGAGAAAGATAGAGAGAGAGAGAGAGAGGGAGGGAGAGGGAGGGGGGAGGGAGGGAGGGAAGGAGGGGGAGAGAGAGAGAGACAGAGAGAAAGAGAGAAAGAAAGAGAAAGAAAGAAAGAAAAGAAAGAAGGAAAAAGAAAGAAAGAAAGAGAGAGAGACAGAGAGAGAAAGAAAAAAGAAAGAAAGAAAAGAAGGAAAAAGAAAGAGAGAAAGAGAGAGAGAGGGAGAGGGGGAGGGAGGGAGGGAGAGAGAGAGAGACAGAAAGAGAGAAAGAAAGAGAAAGAAAGAAAAGAACGAAAAAGAAAGAGAGAGAGAGACAGAGAAAGAGAAAGAAAAAAGAAAGAAAGAAAAGAAAGAGAAAGAAAGAAAGAAAGAAAGAAAAGAAAGAAGGAAAAAGAAAGAGAGAGAAAGAAAGAGAGAGAGAGAAAGAAAGAAAGAGAGAGAGAGAAAAAGAAAGAAAGAGAGAGAGAGAAAGAAAGAAAGGCTTCCAAGGGGGTCTCAGCCCAACACTGCCCTCCCCCTCCCTACAGAGGCTACAGCCCCTCACACTCAGCCGGGGTCAGGACCTCGGTCCTCCCCTGCAGGGCTCGGGATGGGAAGGCCTGCAGAGGGATGGGCATCTCTGTCCCCCAGGAATTCCCCTTCTGGGTCCGGGGCAGGTGTGACCGCCCTGGCTGGGCCCTCCCTCGCCTGCAGCACGGCCCCACGCCCAGCCGGCCTGTTTTAAATAGGAGGCCACAGGCTCCATCCTGCTTCAGAGCTGCCAGCTGCTCCCGCGATGGCTGAGCGCCTAAGCGTGAACGGGAGAATGGAAGCAGCCGTACAGAGGGGGTCCCACCTCCAGGTATGGTGGGGCGTTGGGGTGAGGGGGGTTGTGGTGGGGGGTTGGGGTGAGGGGGCCCTGCCTCAAGGTACCGTGGGGGGGGTTGGGGTGGGTGTGGGGGGCTCCCACAAGGTACCAGGGGCTGGGTTTGGGGGTCTCCTTCCGATGCCTGGCCCTGTGTGCCATCAGGAACGGTATTGCATCGTGGCGATGGGGCAGGTCATCCCTGAGTGCCTCCTTACCCTGGAAAGGGCTGTGTCCCATTGGGGGTACATAGTGTGCGCTGGAGAGACCCTGGGAGAACACTGCAGACACTGCGCGTCCAGGCGCCGCGCACCCCATGGGTTGCCCACACGTGAACACGTGTTGGCCACGTGACACGGCACAGAGGCAGGTGGGGTGGAGGGGCCAGCGTCGTCCTGTCTCACACACACGCACGCACGTGCACATGCAGGGTGGGGTCTGGCTCTTCTCTGACTGGGGGTCCAGGCCCTGCCTCATCTGAGAAGCCCTGGGGGCCCTGACTGGCCCTCCAGACCCCAGTCCAGAGCTCCCGCTTCTCCTGGCCTGGCAGCCCCCGCTATGGGGGATGGCGCTGCCCTGTCTATGCGCCAGGTGGAGATGAGGAGTGGGGACTGGAGTCAGACTTTCCGAGCCTCTTAGCCTCCCTGCTCAGAATGGCTGGGGGGACGCAGAGTGAGCAGAGCCATGTGCCCGCTGGTGGAGCTCCTGGCCAGGCTGCCTGGAGGCCTGTGGGGGCCACACACCCGAGGGCAGCCACCTCCACCCAGTGTCCGCAGGCCCCGAAGCTTCTGGCTCGTTCTAGCACCTCCCCAGAGTACTCAGTGCAGGCCTGGGCAGTGGGACAGGGCTGAAGCCTCACAGACCCAGACCAAGACGGACAGTGTGAAAATCCTAAAGGAGTCGTCGTGGTGTGAATCCGCACGTCTGCAGCCCCTCCAAGCTGGCTGCAGGAGCTGGGCCTATCCCAGGACCCCAGAGCCTCCAGCACAGGACTGGGCAGGCAGTGGCTGGGTTTCCTGGGGCCCTTGTGTCTCCACAGCCCGCCTCGGCATTCAGCTCAGTGGGGCCACCCTGGGCCACAGTGCCGAGCAGTGTCCAGGCCAGATGCTTCCCGGACTTGGCTGGACGGGCCTGGCACAGTCAGTCCTCAGCAGCCCACACTGGGGGCTGGGGCGGGTGCAGCCATCAGGGGCAAGAAGGGCAAGCTTTCCCCAGGGCCCCAGACCCCCATGCTGGGCCCATGGACACGCTACAGTCCTTGCCTTTTGGGTGGATCACCTGGGCCTGTGGCTCCCCAGAGGCCACCTGTAGGGACGGCAGCACAGGCCCACTCAGCGCAACCCTGCCTGCAAACAGGGCCAGGCAGGGCCTGGACACTCTGTTCTCTGAGTCCTGCTGCCCCAGCAGCTCAAACTCAAACTCAGCTCCTACACTAACACGTGCCAGGGCGGGTGTATCCGGGGAAAAGGGCGCAGCGTGGGAGCACCCTGCGAGGGGCTTGTCCAAGCAACCAAGCAGGCAGGGCGGGGCACGGGTGGCTGAGGGACACGACAGGCCAGGGTGGGGAGGCCTGAGTGGCTGCAGGCTGGGCCCTGCTGAGGCCGCTTTTTACACGCAGGGTGCAGCCCAGACGCCCCCCAGGCTGGGGCCACCATCAGCACCACCGCTGCCGCCCAAGGAGGGGCACCAGGAGGGGCTGGTGGAGCTGCCCGCCTCGTTCCGGGAGCTGCTCACCTTCTTCTGCACCAACGCCACCATCCACGGTACCATCCGCCTGGTCTGCTCCAGCAGGAACCGCCTCAAGACGACATCCTGGGGGCTGCTGTTCCTGGGAGCCCTGGTCACACTCTGCTGGCAGCTGGGGCACCTCTTGGAGCATCACTGGCACCGCCCGGTCCTCATGGCCGTCTCTGTACACTCAGAGCGCAAGCTGCTCCCGCTGGTCACCCTGTGTGACGGGAACCCACGCCGGTGAGGGCCAGGGCTGTCGGCGGGAGGGGCGGCCGCCCCAGCTTCTCGCCCCTGTGACCGTCCCTGACCAAAGCCCCACTGGCCCCTGTAGCCGAGGAGGGGGCTCGGTGTGGTCAGTGCCACCCTGGAGGGACACCGGGCCTCGGAAGCCTGGGAGGAGAGGTGGGGGAGGGTGGAGCGTTCCAGAAGGAGGGAAGATGGGAGGGACTGTGAGCAGGCCGGACTCTGGGGCCGACCTCCAATTCCAGCTCCGGGTCCAGCTCACCCCGCTGGGCATCCTGAGTGGGGGAGGCACTGCTGTCCCGACAGCATGCACTGGGATGCTGGAGCCAATGTGGGGCCCCGGGCCGGTGACTCTGACTCCAGGGCCCTGCTCCCCAGGCCGAGTCTGGTCCTCCGCCATCTGGAGCTGCTGGACGAGTTTGCCAGGGAGAACATTGACTCCCTGTACAAGGCCAACTTCAGCAAAGGCCGAGATGCGCTCTCCGCTGCCGTCCCCCGCCGCGAGCCCCGCTTCCACCTGGACCGGGAGATCCGTCTACAGAGGCTGAGCCACGCGGGCAGCCGGGGCAGAGTGGGGTTCAGACTGGTGAGTGTCCCAGCCAGGGCCTGTGGCCATCAGGGCCTCGAGTGGGGAGCGGGGCCCGGACTGCTGCTGGCCACAGAGCTGACCCTCCCTCCCCTCCCCCAGTGCAACAGCACGGGCGGCGACTGCTTCTACCGCAGCTACGCGTCCGGTGTGGCGGCCGTGCAGGACTGGTACCGCTTCCACTATGTGGACATCCTAGCCCTGTTGCCCGAGGTGTGGGAGGACAGCCACGGGCGCCAGGACGGCCACTTCGTCCTCTCCTGCAGTTACGACGGCATGGACTGCCAGGCCCGGTGAGTGCGGCGGGCGGGGGCCACTCCCTCTGTCCCACCCCCCCAGAGCATGGCCACACCCCTGGGGTTCCTCGGGCTGAATGCTGGGAGCCGCCCAAGGCTGGCCACGGCCCCTCAGACCAGCGTGATGGATGCAGGTGGCCAACATTCAGGGTCTGAGCTCGGCGTCTCATACCAGGCAGTTCCGGACCTTCCATCACCCCACCTATGGCAGCTGCTATACGGTTGACGGCGTCTGGACAGCTCAGCGCCCTGGCATCACCCACGGTGAGTGCCAGCCCCTGGCCGGTGTGGGGGCAGCGGTGTAGGGCAGGTGGCCTCACACCAGCTCTCGGCCTCCCAGGAGTCGGCCTCGTCCTCAGGGTTGAGCAGCAGCCTCACCTCCCTCTGCTGTCCACGAGGGCCGGCGTCAAGGTCATGGTTCACGGCCGTAACCACACGCCCTTCCTGGGGTACCACAGCTTCAGCGTCCGGCCAGGGACGGAGGCCACCATCAGCATCCGAGAGGTGAGCCGGTCTCTGCAGCCCACCTCCGGCCCGGGCCTCCTGCCCAACCTGGGCTTTGGGGGGTGGGGGCAGGGCCCCTGGAACTGAAGCGTCCCCTCCCAGGATGAGGTGCACCGGCTCGGGAGGCCCTACAGCCACTGCATGTCAGGCGGGGAGGGCGTGGAGGTGGAGCTGCTACACAACACCTCCTACACCAGGCAGGTGAGGCTGGGCTGGGGGGCCCGAGGGGGGTGAGGCTGGGCTGACGGGGGGCACGGGGGGAATGGGGGAGGGGTCTGGGAGGGTACCGGAGGGCCTGGGAAAGGGGCAGTCCCCATAGAGGCCCCCACTCCGTCCCCTGTGTACCTACTCCATCCCCCATGTCCCCGCTCTGTCCCTCTGTCCCTCGTGTCCCAGCTCCGTCCCGCATATACCCACTCGGTCCCCCATCCCCCATGTCCCCACTCCATTCCCCGTGTCCCAGCTCTGTCCCCCGTGTCCCCACTCCATCCCCTGTATCCCCACTCTGTCCCCCGTGTCTCCATCCCCCATGTCCCCACTCCAACTCCCATCCCCCGTGTCCCCACTCTGTTCCCTGTGTCCCAGCTCCGTCCCCCGTGTCCCCGCTCCATCCCCCGTGTCCCCACTCCGTCCCCTGTGTCCCTGCTCTGCCCCCCATGTCCCCATTCTATCCCCCGTGTCCCCAGGCCTGCCTGGTGTCCTGCTTCCAGCAGCTGATGGTGGAGACCTGCTCCTGTGGCTACTACCTCTACCCGCTGCCAACGGGGGCTGTGCACTGCAGCTCTGCCCGGCACCCTGCCTGGGGTGAGTCCTGCCCACTGCCTCCCACTCTGCCAGCCATGAGCCGGGGGTCATGGCAAGCCTCACACATGCCCCGACCCCTCCCCCAGGACACTGCTTCTACCGCCTCTACCAGGACCTGGAGACCCACCGGCTCCCCTGTACCTCCCGCTGCCCCAGGCCCTGCAGGTGAGACGGGGTGTTGGGGTCAGGGCCAGGGGTCATTGCCCGGAGCAGCTGGCAGGTGACGCCCCGGCTGTCTCTTCCAGGGAGTCTGCATTCAAGCTCTCCTCTGGGACCTCCAGGTGGCCTTCCGCCAAGTCGGCTGTGAGTCCCCAAAGGGGTGGGGTGGGGGTGTGGACAGCCAGGCAGACCCCACAGGACCCACGGAGCCCACCCAAGACAAGGGCAGGGCTGGGGCTGACCCAGCCTGTGCCCTGTGGTCTCTGCCCCCACACCCACCCATGGTACCCGGGATGGCTGGGGGCATGGGGGAGCCGTGGCCACAGCAAACCTTCCCGGCTCCCAGCAGGGCTGGACTCTGGCTGCGCTTGGTGAACAGGGGCTGCCACATCAGAGCCACAGACAGAGGTGAGTGCACCCTCACCCTCCAGAGGGGCATCCCAGCCCCTCTCCCCTTACAGCCCCCCTCCCCATCATGAAGGTCTGGGCCAGCACCCTCATGCCTCTATCCTGCTCCAGGAGCAACCTGGCCAAAATCAACATTGTCTACCAGGAGCTCAACTACCGCTCGGTGGAGGAGGCGCCCGTGTACTCGGTGAGCTTCGGCCCCCAGCCTGGGCTAGGGTGGGGGCGGGGCCAGTGGCTAGCCCCGCACAGAAGGGCCACGGGGCCCAGGCCCGCCCCTCATGCCCCACCCCACCCTCAGGTGCCGCAGCTGCTCTCAGCCATGGGCAGCCTCTGCAGCCTGTGGTTTGGGGCCTCCGTCCTCTCCCTCCTGGAGCTCCTGGAGCTGCTGCTTGACGCTTTGGCCCTCACCCTGTTGCTGGGCGGACGCCGGCTCCGCAGGGTGTGGTTGTCCTGGCCCAGAGCCAGCCCTGCCTCAGGGGCATCCAACATCAAGCCAGAGGCCAGTCACATGCCCACGCCTGCAGGTGCGACATCAGACAACCTGGGGCCCAGCGGGCCCCATCTCCCACAGATGATGTTTCCAGGGGCTCTGGAGAGAGTCTCAGCTGAAGAGAGTTGGGCTGGGCCCCAGCCCCGTGAGACTCTGGACACCTGAACCAGACCTGCCAGGGCTGTGTGATCTCTCGGCCTGGTCCTTGGAGCTGTGGCAGCAGCAAGCTCCCCAGCGGCCCAGGGTGGGCCCGACCAGCGGCTGCAGGGCCTTCCCAGGTCATCCAGTGGCCGAGGAAGCAGCACGCGCGGCCGTGGGGAGGCAGGGCGCTGGGCATGTCAGCGCCTCTGGTCAACCACCCACCCTGCCTGGGGCGGGTCTGAAGGAGGCCCAGGGCGGAGGGGGCTTCCTGAGTGCACACGAGTGCAGCTGGAGGTGCTGACACGCGGTGATGTGCCCATGCTCCGTGTCTGTCTCTGCACGTCCACACGTCTGATGCACCTATGTGCGTGTGTCAATCGCTGCCTCAGCTGGGGGGAGGCAGAAGGCAAGGCGGGGCCCCCACGCCCACACGGGCTGCTCTGAAATAAAGCTGTGGACTCCACCTGGTGGCCACTGTGTGCCTGTGCGCCCCTCCAGCCACCCGTCCCGGGTGAGCTGAAACCCTGACTGCACCTGGCGCCTCCCTGGGCACAGGGCCCAGGACAGGACCAGCCCCAGCCTAGCCTTGCCGGTTCGCGTCCAATGACCCCTGGCCCTGACCCCAACACCCCTCTTCCCACCAGGGGACTCAGTCTAGGACAGAGAAGGGTAGAGGGGTGAGACAATGGGGGCCAGGGGCATCAGGAGCCAGATTTTGTCAAAGAAGCCTCAGGCCCCCATCAGGCCTCGTGCAGCCTGTTGGAGTCTGACTCAAGTGCTACCTGGCTCAGGAATGCCCTTTGGGGAGGGCAGGGGACGCAGACACTCCCCGGAGACAGAGCAGAGCGAGGCACGGGAGCCCAGGAGCAGGCAGTGGGCGCAAGCGGTTTATTCAAAGCGAGGGGTGGGGGTAAGACCCGGCAGCAGGGGCCTGAGGCAGGTCGTGGGGCCAAGCTCACACAGGGAGAGGAGCAAGAATCAATTCTGTTCTTCAGGGTCACAGGCAGCAGGCAAGAGTGTTGAGGGGCCGGGTCCAGCGCCCACTGTGCCCTCATGGAGCCTCCCGGGGGCAGCATTGCATAGTGACTGGCCTTAGCCTGACCTGGGGCCGAGCTGGGGAGGCCCCGCCTCTCTGCAGGGCGCCTTCGGGGAAGGGGTTCGTGAAGGCATTGGCAGGCCCTGCAACATGAACCGAGGGACCCCTGGACCCAAGGGTGAAGCTGGCCAGGGGCAGGGCTGGGGCTCAGGCGTCCTCAAGAGTCCACAGAGAAAAGACGCAAGACAAAGTCAGACGAGGCCTGTAGCAAACCCCCTCGGTCTGCTACAAAGAACGTGAGATGCGGGCTGCAAAGTGGCAAAGTGGCTTTATGCACAGGCTCTGGGCCGAGTACCGGGAGAAGGTGCCTCCAGAGGAGGCTGGGACGCGGCCGGGGCTGTCTGGCACGGGAACCTTCATGGCCAGCCACGTGGCCTTGGGACGCCCGCGTCCAGCCAGGGCTGAGGACCCAGGCCAGAGCCCCTCCCGCCCAGCACCCGCGACACCAGCCTGGATGCTGGGGTCACTAAGTGAGGTACTCGTTGGTTCCCTGGATGGGCCACCCTTTCTGCCCTGGGAGGGGGTCTGGGGTGTGCAGGAGGGACCCAGCTAGGTCAGTGTTCTGGGCAGAAGTGGGGCACGAAGTGACACAGGCCCTGAGGACAGAGTGACACGGGCCTTGAGAGTGGCTTGTGACATGAGCAACCCAGGACCCTTAAAAGGGGTGACCTGAAGATAGAAGTTCCCCGGGTGGGGTGAGGGGCACCCGATGACGCAGCACCCCCCAGGGAAATGTGAGGCTTCAAGAGACTTAGTGTGGGGCCCTCGCTCTCCTCCTGGGCGAGCGGGGCCGGGGCGCCCCGGCACTGGGGCTGCCAGGCATTGACCCGGGTCACAGGCAGGGCCGCGGCCGGGTGCGGCGCCGGGGATTTCGGGGCATGCGGGGCGTCGGGCCGGGCGGGGCAGCAGCTGCCCGGCCTGCCCGGCCCTAGCTCTCCTCCAGGTGGAGGCTGATGAACTCCTGGATGCACCTGCGGAACTGGAGCTCCGTGGGGCTGCTGCCCGCCAGGGCACCCGGGGGACCCGGGGCAGCCTCGGCCTCGCGCATCTCTTCCGCCATGCGCGCCAGACGGAGCCTGCGGGGAGATGCAGCATGTAACGCCCCTGCCCTGGAGGCCCCGCCCCGCCCGGAGGCCCCGCACAGCCCCCACAGGCCCCCCGTGCTCACAGCGTCACCGGGGCAGCCTCGGCCTCGCGCATCTCTTCCGCCATGCGCGCCAGACGGAGCCTGCGGGGAGATGCAGCATGTAACGCCCCTGCCCTGGAGGCCCCGCCCCGCCCGGAGGCCCCGCCCCTGCCCTGGAGGCCCCGCCCCTGCCCTGGAGGCCCCACCCCGCCCGCAGGCCCCGCCCAGCCCCGAGGACCCGGCCGCGCTCACAGCGTCACGATGTCAGCGTTGGCCGCCTGCACTGCGATGGCCAACGGGTCCCGCTGCTCTTGGTCCAGGGCGTGCTGGTCCGCGCCCCGCTTCAGGAACAGGCAAACCTGGCTGAGAGACGAGGGCGGAGGGCGCGTCAGAGCTTGAGCAGGGAAGGCGGGGCGAGTGTGGTCGCGGGGCGTGGCCGGGCAGGGGGTGGCCAGACTGGGGCGTGGTCGGGGCGCGGGGCGGGGCGTGGGTTGCGCGCCTTACCCGGTGCGGCCCAGCAGCGTGGCGTGGTGCAGGGGTGCCCGGCCCCGGCTGTCTCTTTGGTTCACGTCCGCTCCGTTTTGCAGCAGGAACTCACAGACGATCAAGGAGCCCTGGGGAGCCGGGCGACTAAGACGGAGTCGCGGTATCGGCCCCTCGCAGCGCCTCTGCACCCTGACCCCGGCCTTGGGCGTCCCCAGCCGGGACCGAACTTGTCCCCACCGCGGACAGGCGGCCCCTGTGTGGGGGCCACAGAAGATGCAACCTCAAGTGTGCGCCTGTGTCCTGCGCGCAGCCCCCGTGCCTCGCTCACCCCTAGCACGGCCTGCACCAGCGGCGTCTTGCCCTCATCCTCCGCGTCCGCCCAGTTGACCTCGGCCCCGTGGGCCAGCGCCGCCGCCAGCGCAGGAAGGTCGCGGGCACGCGCCGCGCGGTGCGCCAGGAGCCCCGGGTGCAGCTCACGCACGTCTGCCAGGCCCCAGGCCTCGGCCTCAGTGTCCCCGTCTGCCTCACCGCTGGACTCCTCGGACTCCGCACCCTCTGTGGGGAGGGGGCGGTCAGGGAAGGCGACCCCCGGGGCTGGGCAGGGGCGTCTGCCGAGCGCAAGGTGCCACCCACCCTCCTCAGTGACGCTGTCCACCACAGAGCCTGAGCCGAAAGCCAGAACGTCCGAGCTGCCATCCGAGCTGCCCCCAAGGCCACTGTCGCTACTCAGACCTGCAGGGCCGCAGGGAAGGGAGTCCTGAAGGTGGGAGGCCCCAACTCCATCCAGAGCCCTGGGGCAGAGCTGGAACCCCACCCACCCGCCAGGGGCAACCCCTAGGGACAGGAGCAGCTCCCACCCAGGGCCGGGGGGAGCCAGCCGCAGGCTAGGATCAAAGGAGAGAAAACCAAGTAACAGCTCAGAGGTGCCAGGGGTAGTCCCCTAAAGCCCAGGCCCGCGGGGAAGTCCGTGCCCCCCACTCTCAGGCTCACCTGCACCCCTGCAGTGGGCCCCCATCCCTGTCTGTGGCTGGCCCAGGCTGAAAAGTCTCCACCCAACGGATGGGCAGCATGGCCTCAGAAGGGTCCCAGGCTGAGGGCCAGCCAGCTGGCAGTGCCTTCTGCTGCCCCAGCAGCCCGGGCCATTCGCTCCACACACCCACCGGGGTGCACACAGCCCACACACACATTTGCACAGCTCACCCCCACAGTCAGGGCCTCGGCCTCCAGCTCTGTGGCCAGGAGGCCCCCGCCCCTCCAGATGCTGCTCCATTCCCCTGCAAGGGCCATCCACACTTGGGCACCCTCCAGGCCAGCCTCCTTGGCCCTGCCCTGCCACCTGGCTGGGCCCATCCCACACTTACTGCGAGGGCCAGCCCCCGCGGCCCCTGCGTCGAAGTAGGAAAAGAGTGAGTCCAGCTCGTCGGGGCAGAAGAGGGAGTCTCGGCGGAACTTACGATCCAGGGTGCCCACTGCGGGGGCAGTGCGTGTTCAGAGCAGGGAACATGCCCGGGGTGGGGCAGAGAACCCCAGGTCACAGTGGGAGTCTGCAGAGCCTGAGGTGCCCCCAACCCCTTAACGGAGTCCATCCCCGACCCAGGCAAGCCCCTCTCAGCCCTGCTAGGGCATGGCCTCCCACCTGAAGACAGAGCAGCCACACACGGCAGGACGGGCTCAAGCCGGACCTTGCGGCGGGCAGTGGGGACGCGGGGAGAGCTGTGGGGCCGTGGGCACTTCTGTGCCCTCCAGCGTCTTGGGGCCTCCAGGGCTGGTGCCATGGGTGCCTTCCGCAGAAATTTCTTTTCCACATATTTGTCCTTGATCCAGGCCTCCTTGTCCTGCCTGGATCAGGGGTGAACATGAGGCTGTGCCCCAGGCTGGGGCTCCCTGGCTGATCCAGACTGTACCCCACCTCACCGGGGGCTGCTGGCTGTGGGTTTCCTGCTGCCTGGACCCTCACACTGGGCCTCATAGATCTGATTCACGGCTCTGTTTCCAAGCTCACACATCAGCTGGCGGGAGACAGGGCGAGCAGGCATCAGTGCAAACCTGCAGACCCCGGCTCCCGCCCCCACAAAGGGGGTCCCATGGCCTGCAGGAGTCCCACACACACCTTTAGCAGCTCTGGCTCCCACGAGTCCAGCGTCAGGGACCGGACTTTGGAGCAGTGGACACCCAGGCTCCTGGAGGGCAGAGGCAGGGCTGAGTCTGGGTGAGGCAAGGCCCCCAGCTCCGGCCCAACCCCAATCCCCGGCCCCGCCCTCAGGGGCCCACCTGTGGATGCCAGAGCACTCGATGCAGAGCAGCACGCCCAGGTTGATGCTGGCCCAGCGGGGGTCCGACTGGCCACAATCGCCGCACTGGCTGTTGCCGGCCACGCTCTGCACACGCTGCAGCACACTCTCACCCTTCACGCCACGCTCCCGAGGGTCGGTGGCAGAGTCGATGCTGCTCGTGGACGGGGATGCTGTGCGCTCCAGCCTCTGGGGCATGGGGTGGGGCTGCTCAGTCCCGCAGGGGCTCTAGCGTGGTTTCCCCAGCAGGTCCCCTCCTCCCCAGCCGGAAGTGCAGGTGCAGGCCAGGGCCCTTCAAGCACACGCCTGCACAAGCATGTATGCGTGCACACCCTCATGTGGGCAGATGCCACCTGCACACACATGCACACCCACACTGCACAGGCCAGTGTGCCAGTGCACCCACAGCAAACACCCAGCTTGCAGGAGCCACAAACAGGTGTGTGCACAGGCGTGGGGCAGGGGCACCAAGGGCCACACCTCGCTATAGCAGCTGTCAGGGCTCTCGCGGTAGGCGGAGGCGATGCTGGCCTGCACAGCCTGGACCCAGGCCTGCCGCAGCTTCTCGGAGTCGGCCTGCAGCATGCAGCTCCTGTGGGTGGTGGAGGGGACCGGCGTCAGCTCCGGTGGGCAGCTACGCCCCCCGCCTCACCCTGGGCTGGACCTCCTCACTTGGTGGGTGACACCACCTCGAAGCAGAACCTCCGCTCGATGTCCTCACATGGCTTCACAGAGCACAGGCGGAGGTCATCCACCACCACGGTGAGGGCGTCCTGTGGGCGGCACTGCTGTGGCCCCTGCCCTTAGCCGCCACCCAGCCCCGACCACCCACTTCCTGCTTCACCTTAGAGACCCAGAGGCTGACTGCCCGAGTCCCAAGCCCCGTGTCCAGCTCTCTGCTCCCTGACCGTTCAGGCTCCGGTGTCCACTAGTGCCCCAGCCCCATGCCAACCCCAACTGACCAGTCTGCCCTGTGGCCCAGGTGGGGCATCCAGCCATCAGGGCCCCAGTCCCAGGCCCAGGGCACACCTTGAGCTTCTTCTGGTAGACTAGCTGGCTGTTCTGAATGGAGAACCAGCGCCTAGGCGGGTGGGAGGATGTGGGGAGTCAGACGGTGCCCATCCCAGGGCCGCTGTGACCCCTGCCCCCGCCTGAGGAAGGGCCCTCACCGGTTCCACGTCTTGAAAGCGTTGCTGGCCCTCTTGAAGAGGTAACCCTCCATCACCACCCCACTGGGTGCATCCACATCAAACTCCACTTTCGACTCATCGTAGGAGAAGTCCTGGAGGGATGGAACCCGCCCCCTGAGTGCCCGCCCCAGGGAGCCCTGCTACCCTCTGTGCTTTCCCAGAGCACTGGCTGGGTGAGGTCCTTGTTTGAGGCTGCCACACGGCCCACGGGCCACACGCTCAGACGGGAGACCCTCTGTTCACCACAGCCACTTTTTTTTTTTTTTGAGACAGAGTCTCGCTCTGTCGCCCAGGCTAGAGTGCAGTGGCGCAACAATCTCTGCTCACTGCAAGCTCCGCCACCTCCCGGGTTCACGCCATTCTCCTGCCTCAGCCTCCCTAGAAGCTGGGACCACAGGCGCCGCCACCACGCCTGGCTAATTTTTTTGTATTTTTTAGTAGAGACGGGGTTTCACCGTGTTAGCCAGGATGGTCTCGATCTCCTGACCTCGTGATCCGCCTGCTCAGCCTCCCAAAGTGCTGGGATTACAGGCGTGAGCCACCGCGCCCTGCCCATAGCCACTTCTTGACCGGAGCAAGGCCCCCAGCCCTGAAACTCGTGGGGCAGACCCCTCACGTTCACAGCTGGGGGCCCGAGAGTGCCAGCCCCACCCCAGCCCTGCAGGGACAAGCAGGCTGCGATCAGGAAGGAAGCTGCCCCCCCACCCTCTGCATCCTGAGTGCTCCATTCATGTGGCCAGCTGAGCGGACAGAGCCCCATTCAGGAGGCCTGGGAGCCACTGAAGGCCCTGTGTGTCCTGCCGTCTGGCAGGCCAGGGCAGCAGAGGGGAGGCGCGGCCACCTGCTCCCTAGGCCACGTGGGGCGGGAAGGGACAGCTGCCGCCACTCCCACGGGGGATGTGGGGGTCTGGCCGGAGCCAGCCCTTCTCACAGCTGCAGCAGGAGCCCTGAGACCGGTGGGAGGTGTCCTTGGTGCTGAAGTGCCCTCGGGGTAGGGGAGGGAAAGGCACCACCCCATCTGGTCTCCCCCGACCCACAGCCCACCCGGGGCAGTGCTCACTCACCTGCAGCAGCGTCTGAAGGGCCGGAGCAGGAGGGGATGCGGGGGAGAGAGCCAGTGAGTGACAGCTGCCCCCAACTCCTGGTGACTGGCGGACCCATCCCCAACTCCTGGGGGCTCTCCCCTATCCCAAAATAGCCTGCAGCCAACATCTGCTCTGGGTGGTGGCCGGGGCTGCTGTCCCACAGACAGGCAGAGGCCCCGCAGGGAGCCAGTGACTGAGGCCGCAGAGGAAGGACATCCCAGCAGCGGCCCCACCCACACGTGCCCCTCCACGGCACGCATCAAAGGGCAGCAGCCTCGGACCCCTAGAGAAGGTGTGGGCAGGGCAGGTGGGGGACAGGCAGGGAGGAAGGGGCGGGGAGGGTGTGCCGGGCATGGGGTGAGGACGCAGGGGCCTCGCAGGCGCCCGGTGTGCAGGGAGCCGGCTGCGTGGCCTCACCCGCTGCTGGATGGCTGCGTGCTTTCGCTCCATCTCACGCTTTTCCACCGCAGAGTCGATCACCAGCTGGTCCAGCTGTTGGGGTTGGCATTAGGGAAGGCCACGGAGGCCTGCCTTGGCCCCACCCCTCCCAAAGGCTCACCTCGGCCGCGAGCTTTTTCATGTAGGGGTCGAGCTGGTGCAGGAGGCTGTAGCCCTGCTGGAAGAAGCTGGACTGGGCATGCATGAAGGACAGCATCTGCGGGGGCAGCACAGGTGAGGCCCAAGCACACCCGGTCCAGCCCCCGCCATGCAGCCTGTGCTCATGGGCAGCCCCCACGCACTCACAGAGTCCAGGATCTCAAACTTCTTCTTGGCCTGCAGGACATTGATCTGCCAGAGGGGGAGCCCACAGGTGAGCCCTGGAGGCTGAGGCAGCCTCAAGCCCTGCACCTGCCATAGAGTCCACCTGAGCTGCTTGTGGTTCCCTGAGACCCCCAGGTCGTCTTCAGCTCCCAGCACTGGGCCAGCCTCATCCTCCCATGGTCCTGGAGTCCTTCCCCATGTCTGGAGGTCCCACCCATGGGTGAAGCAGGAATTGACACTCCTGCTCAAAATCTCTCCAGTTCTGTACAAGGCCTTTGAGACCTCCATTCGCTACAGCTGGTCCCCGTCCCCTACCCCATTTCCGGGGCTGACCTGGAGCACGTAGTCCAGTGCCAGGTGGCGGAAGCACTTCCTGGTGAGGGTGAGGGCCCCGGTGGCTTCCTCCACCTCGTGGGGTCGGTGCCTCGGGGCCTGGGCGTTCCTCACCAGGGACAGCTCCAGGTCCTCCCGCACCTTGTCAAACTGCTTCTTTGTCTCCTTGAACTTCCGCACATCCCTGGAGGCCAAGTGCCAGGTGGGGTCAGGGAGGGCACCCAGAGGTCAGGGAGGGCACCTGCTGGATCCTGGAGTCTCCCACATCATTGTTTGTGTTTTTTGTTTTTGGAGATGGAGTTTCACTCTTGTCACCCAGGCTGGAGTGCAATGGTGCCATCTTGGCTCACTGCAACCTCTGCCTCCCGGGTTCAAACAATTCTCCTGCCTCAGTTTCCCTAGCGTCTGGGATTACAGGCATGTGCCACCATGCCTGATTAATTTTGTATTTTTAGTAGAGAAGGGGTTTCTCCAGGTTGGTCAGGCTGGTCTCAAACAACCGACCTCAGGTGATCCGCCCGCCCCGGCCTCCCAAAGTGCTGGGATTACAGGCGTGAGCCACTGCGCCTGGTCTGGCTTTGTTTGTTTGTTTGTTTGAGACAGGGTCTCTCTCTGTTGCCCAGGCTGGAGGCTGGAGTGCACAATCATGGCACAATCATGGCTCGCTGCTGCCTCCGCCTCCTGAACTCAACTGATCCCCCCACCTCATCCTCCTGAGTAGCTGGGACCACAGGCGCGTGCCACCATGCCCACCTAGTATTTTTCTTTTTCTTTTCTTTTTTTTTTTTTTGTAGAGATGGAGGCCTCATTATGTTGCCCAGCCTGGTCTCAAACTCCTGGCATCCTCTGGACTCAGTCTCGCAAATACTGAGATTACAGGTGTGAGCCACCGTGCCCAGCCCTCACCCTCCTCCACTCCAGGCCCTTTCTCTGCTCCTGGGCACAGCCTCCTTCCTCACTGGCCTATCCCAGGCCCCCCACACCCCTGCTGCCTCCTCCCATCTGCTCCAGGCCTCCCCACCTCACTATCAGGATCTGTCCAGCCCAGACCCCCACCATGCCCCAGACTCCAGACCCGCAAGCCCAATGTGGCCTGCACCTCTCCACTGGCGGAGGGCTGGACACTCCCCCAACACATGCAGGGTGTGGAACCCCACTGAGCTCCACTCGGCTGTCTGCCTCTGAGCCTTCTGCCTTGTGGAGTCGCTCACGGCCTGGAGGCCTGGGGCCAAGGTGCCCCTGCTCTGCCCCAGACCCTCTTCCCCTCCAAGAGCGGGAGCGTGGCCTCCGTGTTCTTCCCCCAGCCCTGGGGGACCTGGGCCTGGGGGCCACTCACTCTTTGACAAAGTTGTGGAGCTGCTGCCGCACGGACCTCTGGGCCTGGTCAAACAGGATCTGGGGGCAGAAGGGGGCAGAGACCCTTGGGGTCTGTCCCAAAAAAGCCCCAGACGGAAGGCCCCATCCTCACCAGCAGAGGGCACTGCCCCCAGGCCCAGACACAGGGGCGGGTCCCACCCTGCAGGGCTGGCCTCAAGGGGGTCAGGGGAGCAGCCCCCAGGCCTGAGTTGGCACCCACAGGTGGTGGCTGTGACCCCTGCCCCTCTGTCCCACCTGGCCCTTGACAGAGGCCAAGGCTGCCTCAGATGGTCCCTTCATCAGGCAGGCACCAAGGACACAGCCTGAGCCCCACTGCCTCCTGGCCCTGGGTGGCCACCCTGGGGTGCCCATCCCTGCAGCAGGGAGCACTCGGTCAGAGCCGGGAGCACCCTAGAGCTGGGCCTGGGGAGCCGGAGCCTGGGCTCTGAATCAGGTGGAGAAGGACCGGGCATAACCAGGAGCAAAGGGACGCCTGAGCCGTCCTGCCTGGTCTACGTCGGAACCTCCCCTGTTCAGTCTGTGGCTCAGGTTCCCAGGCTGCGGCCCCACATCTCATGGGTGCCTGTCCTGTGTGTCCATCCACGTCAGTGCCAGGCCCCTGGGGCCACCCAGACCCAAATGGCAGCCAGGCCAGCCTGGGATGAGAGCCTTGGATAAACCACCCCTCCCCCAGGGTCTGGTGTAAGCCCTTCCCTGGGACACGGCAGAGCCCCCAGGGCTGTCCCCCAACCCACACTGACTTGAAGACGTGGGATGCCTCCCCCACCAGACTGGAGGAGCAGAAACGTGCCCCCCCGCCCCATGCTGGTCTTCCGGTGACCAGCAGAGCTCGGTTCCAGGCTGCGCGCGGCCCGCGGGTGGCAGGGAGGCCAGGCTCACCATGTGGTAGTTCACCACCTCCTGTAGGCTGTCAGCGAACCTCTGCAGGCATTCCTGGAGGGGCAGATGGGGAGCCGTGCTGAGACGGCAAATCCAGGCCCAGGTCACCCAGTCACGCCCTCTGAGCCCCCTGGGCGGTAGAGACACCGGCCTGCTCCTGGCCTGGATGCCCTTGAGGGGCTGCCTCCCTCGGCCTCTCCCCCTACCCCACCTTGAGGTCAGAGGTCAGTTGGCCCCTCACCGAGATGACGGTGTCGCCCTGGCATTGCTGGGACAGGTCACGGACGCCGCTCACGAACAGCCTGCTGGTGCTGACGTAGGCCTTACCAGCTTCCACCATGCCACTGCACAACTTCACCAGCTGCGGGCCGGCAGGCGTGGTGAGCACGGTGGGCACTGGTGCCTGCATTCGCTACCACGCACAGCCTCTGAGGCAGGAAGAGCTTCCAGGGTAGGTTCCACTGAGGGTGTTGGCAACCAGGACTCAGGGCCCCGGTGCAGGTTCCTTGCGCCTGGGCCTGCCTGGGGCTTGGAGGCCGGTCTGGGAGGGCTGGGAGGGACTAGGAGCCAGGCAGGGGACCCAGGGCCAGCAGGACCAGCCCATGTGGGGCTTGTGGACTCGACTCCCTGCTGCGGCTCCCAGCTCCACGGCCTGTTGTCCCCTCCCCTTTCTCCGCCCCAGCCCCAGCCACACCAAGGCTGGGCCCACACAGCAGCTGTCCCCATGTCACCAGCCCAGCAGAGGGGGCAGGCGGCCACCATGGGTCGGGGACTCACCACAGCCCGGCCCCTCCCAGATGGGACGAGACTCAGGGCCGGCCACATGTGTGCGTGTGACATGTGCACCCTGGAACACACGTGCTAAGACACAGGGACCAGGACCTGGAGCACCACACGGGAGCTCTGCATATGGGGGGGTGTAAGTGGCTTAGTAAGGCCCAGAGGGTGAGTTCGGCCATGCAGCCATCCCCAAGCCTGGTCGGGCACCGGGCGCTCCAGGCCCGCCCTTCACCTTGTCCAGTTTGGCCTCAATCTCCACCACGTCCGTCTCCACCTCGTCAATGGTTGCCCTAAAGCAAGAACGGGGCTGGCTCGGGTCACCTGCAGCCTTGGCCCCCTCGGGGCTTCGCCTCCCCTTGCACCTCCCTGAGGGGCTCCACCATGGGAAGGTGCTTTCAGGAAACGGGCTGGGAGACAGACGCCTGCCTGCTACACGGACAGGACTGGGACCAGGTTCAGCGCACTTCCCCTCACCACACCCCTCCCACCTCCCAGGCAGGGAGAGGCAGAATCGGCTGTGACTCCCGCTGCTGTGCCCTCAAGGAAGAAGGTTGGACCAGCCTCTCCCAGGACAGCGGCTGCTGGCTGCCGGGAGTCCCTCAGGGACGGTGCCCACCAAGGGCTCGGCCAGCCTCACCGGCCGCTCCTCTAGGATTTCAGAGTCGGCCCTGGACCCCTCTGGAGCCCCCTCAACCCTGCGGCGCCTGCTCCTCACCCCTCTGCACTACTGCAGCCCACCCAGGTCTGGCACCCGTGCACTGTGGGACGGCGGGGGGGGCAGCACCAGGACCCAGACCAGCTGGGGAGAGCGCCCCTGGCTCCCCCAACCTCACAGCCGCAAGCGGCACGGTCCGCGGGGAAGACGGGTGGGCTGTCCTCCTCAGAGCCCACTCCCACCAGGACAGCCTGCGAGTAGGGCTGCCTGGGGAGAGAAGAGTTAAGGCATGACATCACCAGAGCAGCCTCGGCGGGAGAATCCCCGGAAGACGGGAGGCAGATGGGTCGGGCACGTGACCACCCCCTCCGGGAGCAGGAAAAGGGAAACAGGGCCAGGATCCCGGCAGCCCCGCACGCCACACAATCGGCTCACTGGCCGGCCGGGCCATCTGGCCTCCAAGGGATTGGGCACCACAGGGCCTGGGCTGGAGCCAGGACTCCAGGGACAGGTCTAGGGCAGGGGTCTGGCAGCAGAGGCCATCGGGGCCTACGGTCCCTCATCCCTTGCTAGCCTGACGCATGTCCCGGGCCTCAGGGGAGGGGCCTGTGGTTTCCAGGGGCGTGTCCTCAATTAGGAGCTGGGGCCGCAGGCGCCCCCCCGGGGAAGGACCTTGAATGGTCCCAGTCACCACAGCAGGACACCAGGTCCTCTCTGAGCAGCCCTCACCTGTTCCCAAGAGGCTAAGAGAACTCTGAATCCCAAAGCAGGGGCAATGGAGGGAACCTCACTGTGGTGTCCACGCACCCAGCCCACAGTCCCTGGACCCTGATCTCTACCTCAGCTGGAGGATCCCAGAGGAGAGAAGGAAACATCCGCCCAGGAGAAGGCAGCAGAGAGAACCACGCCCCAGAAGTTGCAGCCACCCCTGGGCAGGGCCGGATGCAGAGACAGCTGCACCCAGAGCTGCCGCCCTTGGGCTTCGGGCACCCGTGTCCCTGGAGAGCCAGCAAGGGGGGGTGGCTGCACCCCGCAGCTCACGGACGTGCTCATGGGGACAGGGTGGGCACTGGCAGAGGCCCCGAGAGCTGCAGTTTCCGCTGCTGGGAGCCCCTCAGCTCTACCCTCCTCCGCCCCAGGGACCTAGGCCTCGTCTGCTGCGCTCAGCCCAGAATTTCCTCAGCAGCTCGGAGGATGGGGAGGAGGGTGTGGCTGCCCCCCAACCAAAGCCGTGACTCAGCGCCCGCCGAACAGAGGCCAGGCGGTTCCCTCCACAGGCTCCCCTGGCCCCCTGCCCACCGCACCCAGGCTGCCACTAGGCCCTCCCAGACCAGGAAGGTGCAGGCAGGGTCCCCCTTTCCAGGGCTGGGGCGACCAGGTTCCACATTACAGACCACATCTTCTCGCCCACCCTGCCTGGCCCTCAGCCTGGCAGCAGGCCAGGAAACTCAAGTCACACCCTGAGGGCCCGCCCCCAGGACAGCCTCTGGGAGTCCCTCAAACCCCAGTTAAATCACAGCATAACCCTGAAACCGACTGGGCCAGGCCATTCTCACCTCTCCACTCCAGTCCATGCCCCACGGGGGTGAGGCACTTTCCCAGGGCAGCCCCCGCGGCAAACGGCCGGACGGCCGCCCTACGGCACCTACTGCGGCCCCACAGCCCCCATAACTGGCTCCTGTAACCGGCTCCCGTGAGACCCGGTTACAAGGGAAGGCTCAGAGGTGAGTGGGTTCCAGCACCCCCTCCCGACTGGGCGAGGGCAGCACAGGGCGGTCTGCATGGAGGAGGTCCATTAGGTTTCTGAGGGAGGGGCCAGGGAGAAAGTAGGGGCTTCAGCCAGGGCCCAGCCCCCAGCAGGGAGGCCATGCCCACGCCTCCCCACAGCCCGGGTCCCCAACGCAGGATTGTAGAGTGCCTAAGTTATTCAACCCCTTTTCCCAGGTCAGCAACGGAAGATGGGAGAGCAGAGGATGGCCCCAGTTCCTCTGCCCAGGGCCGGGGGGCCACTCTCCTGGCTGGCCCTGAGCCTCCCACTCCAAGTCTCCTGAGGCCTTCTGGTGAGAGCTCTAAGGATGCTGAAGCTCCCCATGCCCCCCTACACAGGCTGACTTGCCAGCAGATCCCAAGAGACCCAGCACGCGCGCGCACACACACACACACACGACCAAGCACACATGTGCAAACATGTTCATGCATGAACATACCTGCACACACTAGCACCACACATACATGTGTGTCCAAGGACTGCAGAGGCAGACATCAACATGTGTACCCAATGGAGGAACAAGCGTGTACAAGCTGATCTGTCTGTTGGTGACATGGCTAACACAGTACGTGAACCGGCACAGAGAGGTGGCGTGTGCACATGCTTGCACGCACTCATCGGCAGGCTACATGCAGAAGCAAGCACAGCCCCGTGGCACAGCTCATCCACACGTCCTGTGCAAGGCCTGGTGCCCCGAGGAAGGCGCACAGAGGGGCAGATTTCACAAGGGTGCCCCGCACAAGCACTGGAAGAGGAGGGGACCTCACGCAGGTGCGCACTCTGGTTTCTTTGCCTCCATTGTCGTTTGCCAAATGTCCACCATGCGAGGCCGATGCACACTTGTGCACACGTCTGTGAACATGTGGTTCACGCAGGTGTGCACGCCTGCACGCCAGGAATGACGGAAAACACGCAGACTCGGGGTGCACACAACCCCTATCCCCTACCTGACCTTCCCCGCCGCTCTTCTCGGCCGCCACCCTCTAAGCCAGCGGGTCATTCAAACCACTTCACGCTCCCAAGCACCCTGCCCCAGGCCTTAAACGCGGCTCCAGTTGCCTGTCCCCCACGCACTGCTCTGGACACAGGATCGAGGCAGAGACCAGGGGCCGACGCCCCCACAGACCCAGACGACCCTGGCCAAAGCTGGACCGCAGGGCCCGGGAGGGGCTCAGCCCGGTGGAGGTGCAGACACAAAGCGGGGGCGGACGGTCCCGAGGTGCCCACGGCTGCCCACGCGCACGCCCTCCGCCGGGGCGCGGCCGCACAGGGCAGGGGCGTCCTTTGTTCCAGCCCCCGGGGCATGGCGGGGCGGGGTCGCCGCTTTGTCCGAGACTGGTCCTCCAGCCCCTCCCCGGCGGCCGCGGCCCGGCCGGGCCCGGCGCTGACCTCCCCACCTCGCCGTCGGGCACAAAGGCGGCAGCGACGCCCCCGGCCCGCGCCCACCCCGGCGGCCCCGGGCGGCGCACCTGAAGCGCGGGGAGTCCTTGACGCACTCCTCGAACTCCACGGTCATGGCTGCGGCGGCCGCGGCGCTCACTGGCACGAGGACCGCGGCGCCGAGCGGCAGCCGCGCCGGCCCGGACCGCTCGTCCCGCCCGCGCCGCCTCGGCGCCCGCCCGCCCCGGAATGAGGCCGCCGCGCCGCGCCCCGCCCCGCCTGTCACCGCCGGGGAGCGTCGCCAAAGTCCGCCGCCCGCGCGCGCCGCCCGCTGTCACCGCCGGGGAGAGTCGCCAAAGTCCACCGCCCGCGCGCGCCGCCCGCTGTCACCGCCGGGGAGCGTCGCCAAACGCCCCTCGCAGCGTCCAGGGACCACCCCGGTCCGGAAGTGAGGCGGGGCCCGCCACGGCAGACTTCGGGGACGGTCGGTGGAAACGTGGGGCGCGGGGAGGGCGCAGGCCCCGCCCGCTCCAGCCATCCCGGCCGTTGCGCAACTCAGGGCGTTTGCGAAAACCACGTCTGGGAGGACTTGGCCGCAACGCGGCGAACGGGCACCCTCGGGGAGTGTGGGCGGCGGCGAATGAATGAACGAGTGAACGAATGCACGCCCGCGGGAGCGCGGGGTCACCGCGTACTTGCGGGCGCGCCTTCCGGGGCGCCGCGGTAGATGTAGAGCCCCTGCGCTCGGCGACGGGCCGGCACTTTGCAACCGCTCCCTAAGCCCGACCCCGCCTCCGCTCCCCGCCCCAGGCCGCCGTGGCGCGTTGCGGGGCGGGGCGACTGCGCAGGCGCAAGAGAGTCCGGGGGGGCGGGGGCGGGGGCGTGACCAGGCTGCGTGCGCGGCTGGACTCGGCTATGGGTTCGGTGCAGGCCGCAGGCTCGGTGCGCGCGCGCTACCTTGTGTACTTCCAGTACGTGGGCACCGACTTTAAGTAAGTTTCCCGGGCGCAGCGACGGGCGCCACGTGGCCCGGGCGGAGGCGGGAAGGAGGGCGCGGGCGGGCAAGCGGATGTCTCCGGACGCGGTTTGCAAACGTTCGGGGGCGGAAGCGGCTCTGGCCTCAGAGGGCGGCCGAGACCCCAGGGCAGGGCGCCCCCGGTAACCTCCGCCCGCCTCTGCCCCCAGCGGGGTCGCGGCCGTCAGGGGCACTCAGCGCGCCATCGGGGTCCAGAACTACCTGGAGGTGAGCTCGGCCGGTCCCGGGACGCCCGGTGAGGGATAAGGGGGAGCCCCCGCCCGCGCGTCCCCAGGGTCCGGCCTCGCCCACCCGCCCGCTCGCCCCGCGGCTCGGTCCTGCAGGAGGCCGCCGAGCGGCTGAATTCCGTGGTGCCGGTCAGGTTCACCATCTCCAGCCGCACGGACGCAGGGGTCCACGCTCTGAGCAACGCGGCGCATCTGGACGTCCAGCGCCGCTCAGGCCGGCCGCCCTTCCCGCCCGAGGTCCTGGCCGAGGCCCTCAACACCCACCTGCGGCACCCGGCCATCAGGTGAGCCGGCGACCTGAGCAGCCCCTGGAGCTCGGCCTTCCCGATTCTGTTGCGGGCGGAGGCTGGAGGTCTGCACAGACTTCGTCGTCTGGTCAGAGCTCGGGGGTGGAGGAGACAGGAGGTGACACCTGGGCAGACGGGCAGGGTCGTTCCTCCGGTGAGCCTGACCTGCTGCCACAGGGTCCTGCGGGCCTTCCGAGTGCCCAGCGACTTCCACGCTCGCCACGCAGCCACGTCCCGGACCTACCTGTACCGCCTGGTCACTGGCTGTCACCGGCCTGCTGAGCTGCCGGTGTTTGAACGCAACCTATGCTGGACTCTCCAGGCAGAGTGAGTGCGGCCCTGACAGTGAGCCGGGAGGGGCAGGCAGGCCCCACCTCCTGACGGTTACCCTGTTCCCTGAAGCTCCCTGGATGTGGCCGCCATGCAAGAAGCTGCCCAGCACCTCCTCGGCACACATGACTTCAGCGCGTTCCAGTCGGCCGGCAGCCCGGTGCCAAGCCCTGTGCGAACGCTGCGCCGTGTCTCCGTGTCCCCAGGCCAGGCCAGCCCCTTGGTCACCCCCGAGGAGGGCAGGTGAGGAAGGGCCTGTGGGTTGTGGCCCTGCCCTCAGGTCACACGCTGATTTTAGCTCCAGCACCTCCCCCAGCTTTAAGGCAGGCGAAGCGGGACAGCTGTCCTCAGAACCTGGACAGCTGGAGTGGCCCAGACACCCCCCAGCCTGCAGCTGTGCCCTCCCCCACCCCGGCTGGGGGGCAGAGGACAGGGAAGGCTGCCTGTCTCTGAAAACCCTGCCCTGCCTAACAGAATTCTGGCAGCCACTGGAAAGGTTTCGCTGGTGCCAGTGGTTCTGGCCCAGCCTGGCAGGGGTGGTTTCTGCTGCCCCATCACTGTCCAGAGGGCCACCCACCAGGTGGCAGATTGTGACCACAAAACCTCCCCTGCTGGGGTGAGCCCTGAAGGGAGGAAGAGCTTCTGCCGGCCCCAGACTCCTGCGTCAGAGTAGCAAGTACAGGGCTGGGGTCTCTGGCACACGCACCAGCCATGTTCCCAGACCCTGCACCAGGACCCTAGGGGAGGGCCCAGGGCAAGCCCCTCCAGCACAGCCAGGCTACCTGCCCAGCCTCCAGGGTCCTGCTACCTCCTTGCCCAAGCATTGCTTGTCTGGTTTTAAGCCTCTCCAGTGGGCCTCCCTGGGGGCAGGGAGTCAGCCGGGGGAACCAGCCCGCCCTGTCAGTCTCCTGTCCGAGGCCACGTGGTAGGCTGGGGATGGCAGGCGCTGCCCCACAGACACCTACAGGCAGGTGTGTTTCCAGGAAGCTGCGGTTCTGGAGCCTGGAGTTTGAGAGTCAGTCCTTCCTGTATAGACAGGTGGGCTCGGTTCTGGGGCCCTCCCTGGGGGCTGGGGCTGAGGGTGGGCAGGCCTCTGTGCAATCTCGGCCCTGGATCACAGGTACGGAGGATGACCGCTGTGCTGGTGGCCGTGGGGCTGGGGGCTTTGGCACCTGCCCAGGTGAAGACGATTCTGGAGAGCCGAGACCCCCTGGGGAAGCACCAGGCACGTGTGGCCCCGGCCCACGGCTTATTCCTCAAGTCAGTGCTGTATGGGAGCCTCGGTAAGAGGAGTGGGCCTGGGAAGCTCCTGCTATGTGCCCAGTGACTGCTGCGGCCATGGCGTGGAGTGGGGAGGCCGGGGGCCACTGACCGCAGCAAGACAACTGGGGGTTAAGGAGCCCCCCGCCCAGGGTCACAGTCCTTCAGCCCAGCCCGTCCTGGGCTGACCCACTCCCTGGCCATGGGAGTGGTCCCAGTGGTGGGGAGGGTGGGCTGACCTTGCCCCAGGCTGACGCAGGGTCTGGTCTGTCCACAGGTGCTGCCTCCTGCACCCTGCAGGGGCCACAGTTTGGGAGCCACAGATGACCCCGGACACTCGGCAAAGTCAGGCCACACCAGGCCCAACCCTGTGCTGCTCAAGCAGGGCAGTCAGCCACTTGGGGCCCATAGCACTGCTGCCCAGCCTCCACAGCAGCCTCCCTGCCCAGGTCCCACCAGCCTGGATGCTCCTCTGTATCGTAGGCGGGATGGGATGCAGTGCAGGACACAGCCATGTACACCGAGAAGAAGGTACCAAGTAGCCTTTCGTTCAGCTTTTACTGGAAACTGCTGTCTGGGACTCCCTGCCCTAACCATCGTTTGGGGGCCCAGGAGCAGGAATAAAGGCAAGACAGCCTGGAGGTCAGTTTCTCTTTAGCTGGAAACAGCTGCCTGGGTGGGCACATGACACACGGTCTCTGTCCCCAGGGATGGGACCTGAGGGTCTGTTCACTCAGGGCACCCACAGTCCTGAAGTGCAGGCCCGGCTCTGTCCAGCTGGGAGAGGGCAGAGGTGGTGGCTGGGTGAGATGCCGGCCTCAGCTGGGGGCCTGGGGGAGGCCCTTCTTCAGCAGAGATGTGAGGAAGCTCCCCAGCTCCTCGTCCTAGGGCAGAAGCAAGAGCACCATGGGCCGTGCAGGACAGGGAGGGGTGGTGACACCTGTGCTGACCGCGGTGGGCTGGGGGCCACCCCTTACCTGGTAGGTCCAGGAGACCAGCAGCACCTTGGTGCCCGGGTCCTCAGAAGGGGCAGCGGCCTGGATGAGGATGGACTCCACAGTCACAGAGCCGTCCGGGAGGTGCTGCACACAGTGGTCCTTCAGGACGCTGTGGGGAGGCTCGGTGAGACCCTGCCTGGACCCCGGGGCCCGAGGGGTGGGGGGACCTGAGGGGTCGGGGGGCGGGGCCGGGCGCCCACCTCTTGAGGTGGCTGTAGACGCGCAACGCCATCTCCTGCTCCTTGCGCGTGTCGTGCAGGTGCACGCGGCAGGTGAAGCGCAGCTGGTGCTCGGCCAGACCCAGCTCTTTGAGGGCTTGCTCTGAGGATACCAGCCGGAAGTTCTGTGGGGCAGGGGCAGGTCAGGGAGCACAGCAGCGGCCCTCCCCCCTCCAGAGGCTGTCCTGGCACTCACGCTGTCCTTCATGATCAGGGTGCCGTGCAGGAGCCGAGGCTTCTTGGCCTCGGGGAGCAGCCCTGTGGAAGAGGCGGCAGCAGCTGTCAACGCAAGGGCCACTCCCAGCTGCCTGCCCCGAGCGCCCTTCCCTGCCCGGCCCACATACCCTGCGCCATTTCCCGCTTCAGCAGTCCCAATGAGATGCCTACGGGGATGCTGGGGCTTGTGGGCAGCGTCACCGTCTCGCCATTGGCCGGCATGTAGCAGCTGACTCCTGGACCCCGGGAAGAGAAAGCCTCAGCCCAGGTTGCCCGCATCAACCCAAGGTGGGCCCCACGCCGCCCGCCCGGCTGCCTACGGAGCTCCTGCTCGATCTTCTGCTTCAGGAACTCCATCTTCTTGGCCTCGCCATGCACCAGCAGCACGCTCTCCGGCTCTGCCTGGCCCACCAGCTGCATGATGCCCTTGGCGTCCGCGTGTGCGCTGAATGACATGTACTCCACCTGCATCTTGACCTCCAGCTGCGGAGGCCACGGGGTGTGGACAGCGGTTACCACCAGGAGGTGCCCCTCTGCCCTGCCAACCCAGCACAGGGTCGGGACTCACCACCTGCCGCCCCTCCATCTCCAGCTTCCGCTGCCCGCTGAGGATCTTGTGGCCCACGGTGCCCTGCACGCAGTAGCCGGGCATGATGACCTGGGGGCAGACACAGAGCTCACAGCCACGGGACCCCAGCCTTGGCACCTCAGGGCCTTCCCTGGGATGTCCCCACCTGAACCCCTGGAAGCTGTTTCCACCTGCCAGCAGTGCCCGACCAAGCCTAGCTGCAGAAGCCAAAGGGCTCAGGTTTTGCCACAAGACTGTCCGGGGCTGGGCTGGGGCTGTACAGCCTGAGGTGGACGGACTACGTCACAGGGAGACTGAGCAGCTCCAGGCGATGTCACCCCCGTCCCTTGGCAGCAGCAGCCACGTCCCTCGGCCAGCAAGAGCGGAGTGCAGAGACAGCACGGGAGGAAGGACAACCCGCCAGCTTCCAGGTTCCCACACCGCACCGCGCCCTCACCATGTTCTTTTCATTTCCGGCCCATTTCCGGAAGATCTGCAGGGACTGCCCGGCGTGCAACATCCCTGGCGTAGCAAATACAACCTGCAGGACACACAGGGTCGGGGGGGGGTGTTCAGGGCAGCGATGCCCCCACCACCACTGCAGGCCCAGCCCAGAGACCTGCAGGAGACAGGAGGCCGACAGACGTGGAGGTGCTGGCCAGCCCTGCCGCGGGTCTCACCATCGGCCCTGGGTTGTCAGCGAAAGCCCGGTCGAAGGCCTTGATGTGCTTGAACTCGAACATGTTCCTCTGCACGAAAGTCTTGCGGATCTTCTGGTTGGTCCAGGGGATGAACAGCTTGTAGTAGTGGTTGGCCTTCTCGGTCAGCCCCGTGGAGAAGTAGATGGGCACCTTCAGGTTCATGCGCTCCCTGGGGACCACCGGCCCAGTCAGCACAGCGGCCACAGGGGAGGACACTGCAGGGTAGGACTCGGCCGGGTCACCCCCACACCTGTATCTGCACAGCCCATGCATGGGCCGGGCTGAGTCCAGTCGCAACCACAGGAGGCCAGTGCCCTCAGCCTATGTCCCATTAAGCCCTAAAGCAGCCAGGCTCAGCGGAGGACCAGGAACCCCTACAAGAGCCACAGACAGTGACGCTGACCGGACGTCACAGGCCTCCTGGGGTCACACAGCGCACAAGCAGCCCCCCAGGACAGCAGCAAGCAGGCTGAGATGCCACCAGCACCCTGGGCAGGGCTGCCCACTGACTGAACTGTGCAGGCTGGGCCAGGGGCTCCTGAGAGAGCCGTCCCGGTGGCACCTACCAGAAGGTCTCCAGGAGGATGCAGAGCTCCTGGGCGCGGCCCAGCGCGAACACGGGGATCAGCACCTGGGGACACACACGGCAGGAGCCTGGCCATACAGCCCCTCGGCACAGCAGGCAGCGTTCAGTGAGGGCACAGCCAGGTGCCCAAGAGCTGCCTCATAGGGACCTTAGCCTCTCTCATCTGCTCCCAGTCCTGTCCCAGCCACTCTCCGGAGACAGAAGGGAGCTGCGTGGGGCCTGGCCAGGGCTTCGTCAGGATCTGAGGTAGGAGAGGCAAAGGGGCTCCCTGGGAAGGGTCTCTGAGTTTTTGTCCTCAATGCTGAGCACACCTTCCTCCCTCGCTGCTTGAAAATGCAGTGCCCCCCACCCTGAGACCCTGACCTAGGCCAAGGGCAGCCAAAAGGACCCGCCCAGCATAGCCGAGGGCCCTGTCCCCACCCCTGCTGCGGCTACCTTCCCACCACGCTCCAGCACAGCCGAGGGCCGTGTCCCCACCCCTGCTGTGGTACCTTCCCACCACGCTCCAGCACAGCCGAGGGCCGTGTCCCCACCCCTGCTGCGGCTACCTTCCCACCACGCTCCAGCACAGCCGAGGGCCGTGTCCCCACCCCCGCTGCGGCTACCTTCCCACCACGCTCCAGCACAGCCGAGGGCCGTGTCCCCACCCCTGCTGCGGCTACCTTCCCACCACGCTCCAGCACAGCCGAGGGCCGTGTCCCCACCCCTGTACCTTCCCACCACGCTCCACGGTCTCATGGACCTTCTTCAGGAAGTCTCGCTCCCGGCAGCGCTTGGAGTCGCGGATGGTCGTGGCGTACGTGGACTCCGTGATGAGCAGGTTGGGGCGGCACTTGTCAATCCAGGCAGCTCTAGTACACGGGGGTGGGGTGTGAGTCACGGTGCATGGTCCCCACAGCTGTAGGGCTGGGTCTGACAAGCTGGGCCCCAGTACTACGCCCACCCGCCTTCCTGGGCCACTCTGGCTGGAAAGAGCCAGCTGGTAAAATGCTGTGGGCAGCACACTTGGGAAGAGAGAAGAGGGACAGAGGACCCCGCCCAGACCTTGGGAAGAGAGAGGAGGGACAGAGGACCCCGCCTGGACCCTGTGCCTTCGCGCATCTGGGCCCAGAAGGAAGGGGCTCTCCAGGCCACACGGGACATGGGAGACACTGCTGGGCCGGCCGCTCGAGGGCTGGCACGCCGACACCCGCCAGGGTCCTGAGCGCCAGGGGGGCCCATGGGACAAAAGACATCTCGGACTACTTACCCCAAGTGTCGGTCTGGGGTCATGTTATAATCACCCTGGTGAACGATCAAGGCCACCATGAGGAGGGTGCGTCCCAACCCGGCAGCCCCTCCCGAGCCTTAAGCCCTTCCACTGACCGTGTAGACCACAGACTCTGAGCCCACTTTAATCTGGAACATGGCTGCCCCCAGCACGTGGCCTGCATAGTAGGCCTTGATCTCCAGTTCATCGTCCACCTGTGGAGGACAGGGCTGTGCTCAGGCTGTGTCGTCACAGCAGAGGGGCAGAGAGGCAGGGGCGGGGATCGAGGGAGGCAGGGGCGGGGAGCGAGGGAGGCAGGGGCGGGGAGCAAGGGCACTGCACTGAGCCTTTTAGTCCCTGTTGCTCATACACAGCATCCAGTTCACAAGGGACGGGCAATGTGGACAAAGAACAAAAAACAACAGATGGAAGACTGAAGGGACCTGAAATTGGAGTTTCCAGTGTGGACTTTGAATACATCACAGAGAAAAGACAAGATTCAGAATGCTGGCTGCCAGGCAAGGTAGCTCAGGCCTGTAATCCCAACACTTTGGGAGGCCAAGGCGGGTGGATCCCTTGAGGTCAGGAGTTCGAGCTTGGACGGGGTCTCACTCTGTTGCCCACGCTCGCGCAGGGTGCAGTGCACCAATCTCACTCACTACCAGTCTCTGAGCCTCCTGAGGATTCAAGCTAATTCTCTTGTCTTAGCCTACTGTGTAGCTGGGATTACACGGTACCTTGCACCATGCCCAGCTAATTTTTGTATTTTAGTAGAGACAGGGTTTCACTATGTTGGGCCAGATTGTCTTTGAACTTCTGACTTTTCCAGATGATCCACACCTTGGACCTCCCAAAGTGCTGGGGATTCAAAGGTGTGAGCGCCACCGTGCGTGGCCAATATTTTTTTTTTTTTTTGAGATGGAGTCTCGCACCGTCGCCAGCTGGAGCTCCGAGTGGCGTGATCTCGGCACATGCAGAACCGTCGACTTCGCTCCAGGTGTGCAAGACAATTCTGCCGATTGCCGTCAAGTCCTGGAGGCCCAGCGAGTTGGAGGAGCCTGAGCAACACATACGCCCCTCTCTACAAAGAAATACCAAAAGTAAATGGAGCTTTGGCATAGGGGCATCATGCTTGTAGTCCCAGAGGGTACTTGGGGGAGGCTTTGCAGGCTGGCAGTGAGCCAAGATCACATCGCCAGGCCTGGCGAGCAGCGATAGGTGGAGACCCTGTCCATATAACAGAGGATGACCAAACCTCCCAAACTTCAAATTTCACGATAACGGATTTTATAGTGATTTTTGTAGAGATGGGTGTTCAACCATGATACGTGTTATTGTGTCTTGATCATAGGAAGTCTGTACATAAAATCGAGCTCAAACTGTCTCGCTCTCACAAAGAGGAAAATGTCACCCGCACGTTGCGTCCACTCGATACTGTTGTCTATGGAGAACATATTATAACGCAGGACTGAGATACTACACTTGGGACCTGAGAGCCAGACGTGTATACTGGACAAATTCACAATTCTTCGTCACCCAAATTTTCAATCTGTCACTCACCGACTTAACCTTCACTTCCTCCCTCGAGCCCACACCCAGAACCCAGGCCCCCTCCGGAACTGGCCATCTCCCCTCTGGCCTTGCCTCCTGCTCCGGCGACCCCTGGGAGGCTCCGGGGGCAAGTTCTCTTTTTTTGGGGTAGTCGAGCGCTCTGAGGGCACCCATGCTTGTCCCACTCTGGCCTGTCATGCCGCTCAGACAGAGGGCAGGTGGGTTTTGGAGCCGGGCACACCCACCGCTGCGCGTGCTCTACCCGGTAGTGGCGCCCTATCTCGGTTTTTGGGACCTTGTGCTCCGGCGCTTGCCGCCCTTCCACATGTTCCCACCGGGTGCTGGATTGCCTAAGAGTGGAGGTGGGGTTGGGCCTCACCCTGGAGGCCCCAGCTTCCGGGTAGGACTGTGGAAGCGGGCGGAGGCGATGGTTGGTGTGGCGCCCTCTCTTTTCTTCTCGTGACTGTTGGTATTTCAAAAGTCACCACTGGGAACTCCAATTTCAGGTCCTCCAGTCTTCATCTGTTGTTTTTCTGTTCTTTGGTCCACATTGCCCGTCCTTGTGAACTAGGATGCTGTGTATGAGCAAAGGGATCTAAGAAGGCTCCAGTGCAGTGCCCTTGCTCCCCCGCCCCTGCTCCCTCTCTCCGCCTGCCTCCTCGATCCCCGCCCCTGCCTCTCTGCCCCTCCGGCTGTGGACGGACACAGGCCTGAGCACCAGCCCTGTCCTCCGAGGTGACGATGAACTGAGAGATGCAAAGGCCTACTATGCTGGCCGCGTGCTGGGGCAGCCATGTATCCAGATGTAAGCAGTGCGGCTCAGAGTCTGTGGTCTACACGGGTCAGTGGAAGGGCTTAAGGTCCTCGGGAGGGGCTG